TTGCCTACCATGGGAGGCAACTAGGTCAGATGTAAGCAAGATGGTGGTTGCGAATCGTATCAATAGGTGGATGGAGGTATTTGAGCAACAGGAGAGAGCCGGTCTCAGCTTAAGGTTCTACCTACCTCTGCCACGACGGGCTCGGGAAGCTGGTGCCGGAAGCCTGTTCCCAGGAACAATTCCGATGACGTAGGATGATGATGCTCATTTTGCTGATGGCTGCAGCTTCAAGCCCTGCATCACACATGGGTGCTCCCCTTGCACGTTGCCCCTGCTCCCCAGGAGCAATTGGGTCAAATGGTCATGTTGCAGCATGTTGATATGCATCAAATTCACCTCTTTGCCGGCAGTGACTTCTAGAACGCGCCCGGCGTCTGACAGCTGGATGTCATCGACGGATGTTAAGGAGCTAAGATCGGGCCAAGTCTGAGCCAAGGGCGGAGAGATGCCGGAAGGCTCCACTTGGGATCGGCCCTAGACAAAATGGATGACGCATCAACCAATTTGATTCCTGCTTACCTACCTACCCTACACCATCTTGTCTTGGGCGAAGTTGGGCATCGTTGTGGAAACCTGAACTGCACGAGCAACTCCATCGCAAGACGGAGCAGACCATCTCCAGCCACGGCCCAGTCGAAAAACGGCAACTTCACCGTCATGATCGTACCAAAATAGGCTTGCCAGGCGGATTATCCCATGCTACGGCAATGGGTGTAACGAGTTCGAAAGGGCATTGCTCGCCACACAGTTTCAATTAAGCGAGCTATGTACTCTCCACCAGGTCCCGTGTCATACCTGCGCAGTCCTCCCAGCCATGCTAGAGGCAACAAAAGACTCCTGTGATGGAACCAAACGTCCCAGTTGCCAGCTATGGCTACTGGCATCTCAGTGCTTGACCATGTATCAACTGCACACGGGGAGACGGTTGGCTATGTTCCACATCCGCGTGCTGGTTCGTATTGCTTTGACGATCCGTAACACAATCATTATGGCGGGAAGCAGCAGCAGAAACCCGCATATACGAAAATCATGATGCCCTAGAATGAACCAATCGGCCTGCGCAGCTGCTTGTGTGTACGGCTACCATCAATGATTCCCGGTGCAGTCTGCTTGCCCGTGATAACACAACGGAGGTATGCTCTCCTTTTGGGTGCTCCGTTCGTTGCACATATTCTTGTACAGGGAACCCCGCTCCGGATCCTGCGTCGGATCCTGACACGCATACACGGTATGCTTGTGTCCCTCGCTAAATGGATTGCTCAAGTGTTTGAAAAAAATCATCCGTGAAGTGGAGTGTTAGCCATCTGCGACTTTGTTCTGTCCCTTGCCATCCATGTGCGTTCCTATCGGCTCCCACTTTCCCATATATGCCATTTCAATTCCGCTTGTCGTGGACTTTTCCTCCCAGAATTCCTCTTCTTCGGCCTTCTTTGACGCCAATTGGTTTTCCCTGTCCCCAATGCCCAATGGGCGGGAGGTATGAGAGCACTCTGCCAGTGGCTGAGAGGTCCCTTCATCATTGAACATGTGTCAGTGCCCTGTTCTTCTGTCGAGTATTTCCACTAACTATATCGCAGTGTTCATTGGAGGGTCGAAGCTACATTATATGATGTAAGCTCCCTGCAGCGGTGGCTGACATTGCCTGTACTCGTTGGTGCGCGACTACAGGAGTGTTGCTATACTGCCGTTGCTCTCATTGTTGCAATCATATGTTGCATACGCCGTCATTGGCCACGCCGGAAGCGCTGGAGACTCCACGACGGAGAGTGTTGGTCTCTTTATGAATGAGATTGCACATCGCCGAAGAGCAGACATTGAGCATGCCACGGCCGATATGCTGGATGTCACATACAACATATGGCACATCAGCAAGAGGAATAGATGCCTTGCTGAAGGTGAACACCCCTAGCAAGTCTTTTCCAAACTGCACGATTCGCTTGAATACAAGTATCGCACCCGTGAAGCTGTGGAAACAGAGCCCCAAGCTATCGCATGGGTGAGATCCCCCCTACGCCCGGCTATCCTATGCCGCGACCAGAAGTGGACTTCGGCTTCCCACCACCTGAAGCGCTGATTTCTTGGCTTTCTATTCTGGGCAAATGCTGTCTGCTTTGTATAAGTATTACTACATCGCCTGTGTCTTGGATACAAAGACAAGTAATGCTTGGATCCTGGAATGTTACCGTTCTAGCCGGGAGAGAAGACTTGGCCTCACAGTTAACACTATTGGGTATTTTCTGACACTCTTTGGCCTCTCATTTTCCTTTCATTTCCAAGCAGCTCTCTGCGCCCTACAAGAGCGATGACGTCTGAGGTCCGATAGTCGCCCCATGGATCCGAGAGACTGACCGCGACCACGTTGGAACTCGCGGCATACCTGCTGGCTTCTCCCATTCACTTATCTGCCCAACCCAGGCCTCGCTCAGTTATCACTTCTATGTTTCCGGCATGCGAACGTCGCGACTGGGACTGCGCGCTCAACCTCGCCCATCTGGCATAGAGATGCGCTTGCCTCTGGTGGATGTTGATGAGCCATGTGCCATTAGTTTCTTTATATGCAAATACAGCGGTAGGGGACCAGGCCCTAGTGGCCCTGACTCCGAACTACACGCAGTGAACGTCGACAGCCGCCGATTGCCCGTTACCGCCCGCAAATTCGGAGAGAGGGAACCGGCCTCCGACAAGCCCTCGACCTGGGTTGTGAAAGTTGGGCATTTACTCGCCCACAGAGATTGGCACCGCGGTAGGTCTCTTCGCCCTAGAGCGCTTTGAAGGAGATACGCGAAAACTGCCTCTGTTCAATTTCTGGTGGGTCATTGGTTTGGCATCTCTACGCTTGGCCTCATGTATCAGGAACTCCACCGGTCCAAGCCTCTAAGGCCACATCAAAGCCTATCCCGTACAAACCGTTGCATTCTGAGGATGAGTGCCCTCTCGTTCTGTGGCACCTGAATACATGGCTGGTCGGGATAAACCATATCATTCCCCTCACCTCCTACACCCCGCTAGAGTGGTCACACTTAGCCATTGGATTGTCTTCTTGATGCCGCCATGTCTTCGCGAGGCAAGCAAACGAAAGCTACGGCAATGTCTTCGCGAGCCAGACAAGCAAACCTACAGCCTTGTCCTCGCACGCACACCGTCGCATCAACACGTTTTCAATTCTTTCTCTGATGATTTTGTACGCTTTCAGAGACGTCGACTCCGAACTCTACCGATACTTTTGGTCTGAATATTGGCCCTACACTCGAGCAGCATTGTCGGAAGTTCCGTCACTCTGTTCTCACTTCTCCTGGCTGCCATATACATTTTCTGCCACATACTGTACACATACATTGCGAGCTTGAACAGAGGGATAGATGGGCACAAAGAGTACAAGCCATTTCCTCATGGAGCATCTTGACAGTGACGAGAAACGCGGAGGAGCAACGCAAGGACCTATCTGGGTGATCGAAAACACTGATCTTGGTCCTTCATACACTGGCGTATGAAATGTCTGAGCCCAGATACATACGTATACACGTGGTGCCAGCTGCCTTTGTGAGCGACTCCTTAGCGGTCGCTTTGTTCATGCTTCTTTCATCTTGGGCCTTGACTCCAATCCTCTTCCATCTTTGTGCAGTCTACATCAAGATAATACGCCTCAATCGTTGCGGCAGAGGAGGCGCGGACCTTGCTCCCCGTTACCTCAAGAACCTCACGTGAGATACTGCCTTGCGTTGGGTTATTTTCAGTTTCCTTGAAATGCCGTCTTATATACATATATATATATTCTATCGCTTGCCGAAGCCATAGATGTCTTATTCTTGAAGTCTTTGAGGTTGGAGAACAATGACATCTGTCGAGAGTACCGACTAGCAACCGGAATCATCCCAAGTCCGAAATCAATAGATGTCAAGTTCATCTGATCCGATATCTTGATTCGAGAGGATGGGGAGCTAGGCTCACAGTTTACCACGTTGGCGTATAAAGCAAACGGCGACAATCGCCGCCAACAGCCTCACACGGACTAAAAGGAGGATACGGAGAAGGCGGCAAGCACCCCAGGCAGCTGCAATCTAGATGAGCCCACAGAGTTCCTATTGCCTTATACCCTCATGACCGGCAAGGCGGTCTACTTCTCATGTCACGGTGTTGCCATTCCTGAGAGGCCTTGTACGATGCCGACTATTTCGTTTTTGTTCATCTCTCAGCCAACCACCCTCCCTCCCGAATTTCACGATAGAGGTCGGGCTCCGCGATATGCTGGAAACCTCTAGCCTCCACAGACCCCTGAATGCCTCGCGATATCTACGACTGGTTTCTCTCTACGCAAAGCTCCTCCCGACTTGTCAATGCTGCTCTCAGCGGTCTTTTGATTTTCTTGCGAGATTTCTCCAGAAAAAGACTTGGGCCATCCACGATATACGGCATCTACGATGAGCCACCCCAAAATGACCAGGTGATGACCAGGAATACCCTTACGAGCTTCAATCCTAAGGTGGCGAAGGTGATGCAAAGGTGTCTCACGGTCGCGGAGTCTTGGGCTGGACGACTGGATCCTGCTCATAGACCTGGAGAGTAAACAGCCATGAATCAGGACCTCACGGCTGGATCAAGGTCCCCCGGCATATACGCGAGCGGTTTCCGGCGCAGTCCAAGCCAGCAGGCAGACCGTACCTCTCTCGCCAGCACGGCCCGCCTCCCACACGTGGGACTACGAGCATGATCGTCATGGTTTCATCCAAGCAATGGAACGGTTCGCCCAAGACAGCTCGTTCGACGGCGTGTTCCAGGTACGTCTAGCTCTACGTGCCACTCCGACGACTATTCGACTCGTGGTGAATGTGGCGGACGAGTATCTACCCACAGCTTTCCTGGTCACGGACGACCATCATCAACATGAGCTCCCTCGCTTCTCATCTTCTCAGCTTCGCCATGCGCGGCCGCAGATCGAAAAAATGGCAAAACCTCTTTGTCCCTTCTTAGTGGGTAAACAGCCCGCTTATAGGGAAGACATCATGACCAAAGTACGCTCAGCTGCGATATGGCTTATGCCGGTCAAGGGGCGAGTATATCGGATCCAACCATTGTTGGGATACAGAAATGGGCCAAGGATCATTGGGGCCAAATTCTGCGAGAAAGAAAACTTCAAGGCCTGCCCCGCTCGCAGAAGAAGCGTAATTCCAACGACCTTTGGGTATATCGCCGCATTTCTCATGTCGATATCGAGGAAGTTTGTCCCAGCAACTCAAGTTCACTCCTGAGGCTCGCCGGGACATGCGCAAGGATCCTGAGCTTCGGGCGATGATGCAGGTGCAGTTTGGTAAGTCCACCCTTCAGCGAGTCTCACTTGACACCTTCACATACTCATCACATTTGTTGTAGACGCTCACGGTCGGATGACGAGCACCCGCGGTGGTACTGGTCACCTCTCTCCCAAGGCTCGGGATACTTCTCGTCAGCTGTTTGGCTCTTCTGATGCTGGCTCCTCGTCGCGTACTTGCGACCTCTCTCCTGCAAAGTTCCTCATTATTCGTGAGAAGACTCCCAAGGCTCGTTCTGTCCCTGAGCCTATTGTTGAGGAGAGCGAGGATGATGAATACCAGGTATGTCCTTTACGTACACCCGCACACTCGGGAAACTTTACTTTTGCCTCGATTTTCTTCCGCAGTGTCTGCAGTCATAAAATGGACCAGGAAGCCAGGCTTGATGGCTGCCAAGACATTGCCTGTCGCCTTGACTGTTTCGGAGTCCTGGTCAACAGGACAGGGCTGCTGCTCCACGTGCTACTAACCTCTGTGGATTGTTTGTGCCTGACACTGGGACTTGGCACTGGGACTCTGTGTTCCTGTTCCCGGAGGGCCTCATCGCGAATAAGCAATAGTTCATGGCCTTCTCAGTGGCTCTGCACGGACACAGGAACCAGGTTCCTGCTCGTCACCAGCCCATGTAGGGAACGCTTGAACGTATCACATCAGTGAAGTTCAAGCTCAATTCCTCGGGGTGCATAAGCCGCGCTACCCTTTTTCTTGGTGTTCGAAGTGATAGGCTGCAAACTACCACTTGGTGCCATCATGGCGAACCATCGCATGAATCTGCGGCGCCTTCGCTAAGTTGTGGACAGATGGCTCGAGTATTTACGCGAGAACGGTATCGAGACCCCAGATATCCCAGAGGGCGACGGTATCTTCGAGGATCTTACGTGGACATACGTCATGACTGCGGAAGGCTGGTTGAAATTCGACCTGCCCGTGTTCCGCCCCTAAATCATCCAGACACCGGCGAACTGCATCGCCGATGTCTACAACGATGCCAAGAAATTCTTCGACCAAAGAGAGATAAATTCCGAAGCTAGGAGAGCTCGCAGAAGAGAACCAGTGGTGGGAGTACCGCAATATCCCACAGGGATCTCCAAGAAAGAAGGATTCAAAATTTGCGTACACGACCTAGACGTTCTCATACTTCGAGCTAATCGGCGCAAAGTCCACAGGGATTCATGCCGCTCTTCGACCGAGATTGTCATTTGGGGCGACGCTGATGGATGCAAGACTGCTCCAGCCAGCAAAGCCGTTGAATGTACCAAGGAAGGGAGCCTGTGCATAACATTGATTTGTCACGCAACCCTTTCATCGCTGATCGCACTATGCCCTCGTAGGCTCCTGCGGGCACCGTCGGAGAAGTCATAGTAGCCTTTCTTCTCACCGAATGGAGGCTGCAGCTGTAGTCCTACGCAGTCGATGCTCCCGGATGCGGTACTACTATATTCGGCGAAGCGACAGACTCCAAATGAAATGATGGGCTTTTTGTTCGGTTCTGACGAGAGAGAGCCTATGATGAATTGAAGAAAACCACTGGCATTATCCACAAAGCGAATTCGGCTCTGTATCTACCTTGCCAGGAACAGTTAGAAGAGGGCATCTCTCTCTGTTCCTATTCCGTTCAGAAATGGGCTACATTGAAAGGGAAATTACGAGGCCTCGCAGGGAAGGATACGACGAGCTTCCACGACTGTGATCCAGTATAAGCCGAGGTACACTACGGCGGGGATCATCGCAATCCAACCGCCATCATGACGGCGCGAATGGACTTCACAGACCGAGGATGCCATGGCCCTCGCCGAGCAGTATGGCCACTCACAGCTGGTGCCAATCCACCTGGCTGTTTCCTTGATTCATAGAACCAGTTTCCTGGATACAGGAAAGATCTAAGTTGCTGCCCACAGAACTTAGGAAACACTTGGCATGCATCTGAACTTATTGTTAGAATAAGCTGGAAAGATTTGCTGTTTTGATCCCCTCTACTTACCTGGGCTTTGTCGCCCATGTTCAACAAGCAATTGTGCATCCCTGAATCGTCACAGAGGAGTGGCAACTCCTCACTGGAAGGGCATGATTGCAAGGTTCGCCTTTGCGTGTCGGGCAAGAGGGTCAAGACCTTGCTCACATAGTAATACCAAGAAGGCTCTACGAAGATTCCAGACGAAGTAAAATCTTTCCTGACGACCTGGACATCCCTCTCGAATGAGTCACAATGGCGCGCAATGACCAGCATCACCTTGGACGCGATAGATTGGTTCACGAATTGGAAGGCTTTGATTCAAAAGAAAGACCTGGCTTGTCAGAAAACACATCGTTTCCTTCAGAACCTGGCGTCTCGCGCAGACTGATCGAAAGCAGCGATGGCTATATCAGTTCAACCGGCTGAACAACCAGCCCAAGTCACGGAGGAGTTGCCACTCCTCCGTGAGGATGAGTACAAGCAAGCTGTCGATGACGGCGTCGCTGTCAGGCTCACGCTCTAACACCTATCCAGGTAGTACGAGGTGACCGAGAAGTTTTCGACTTATGCGTCTCATTTCGAATGCAGACCATCGTTTGGCAACAACGGATTTTGTGTTGTGTCATGGGCAAGCGTGACGATAACTCCATAAACCCGTGATGGAGTGGATGAGACAACTGCTGAAGGGTACCTGTGGGCGAGCCCACTGAGACAGAAGCCCCTTTTACCGAGTCCGAGGAGCAGCGAACCGAAGACATCCAGAATCTCCGGAACTAGAACAAGCTGAGGGGCGAGATCGTGCCAGAGATGCCGGATCTCGTAGAAATATGTAGCTTGAGGGGTATCAATCCGGAGGTTCTGCAGGTGAACCCAGACCACCAGCCCAGTACCTGCGCGAAGCCCCCGCAAATTCCCAGTACGTCCACGGCCGCGGCGGTCTCGGGTAACTGAAGTTGACGGGAGATTACTTTGCCATCCCGAATTGCAGAACCCCAAGCCAGCCGCGCACACCCCCTCGCTTGATGATGCGTTACTGACAACTCGTATAGATACCCACAGACTATGTCAGCTTCTTAGTGGCAACGCATCATCGCCATCTGGTTGGATACTCTGTTCAGTGGAACACAGCGCCAACTCATAATATGGGGTGTGGTGAATGCTCGCGTGGGAATCGCGCCACGGCGGTTGGCCTGGTCCGGAGGGAAAGATGTGTACAGCTGGGACTGTATGACGCCCTCATCACCCCCATCAAAGAGAGCCCCCGTGGATGTATGCACCTGGTCACGCTGGAGACCTTGAGGAAAATTTCCGACAACTGCGCCTTCACCACCAAGGTGTTGGCCAAGATTATCACCGGATGGCATATACGTTGAACATTAGACAAATGGGGATTCACTGATCGCCAGATCATCGAGCATTTCAACTTTGTCCACACATAGAAGAAGTTGTATGAGGGCCTTCCGGGCCTGAATTGACAAGTTGAAAAAGGAGTTCTTGCTCATCGACGGCTGCATTATGTCACCCTCCAAGATAGGCCTTTCACTTCCGCCGGTGTTGTCTTTGGAACTGGCAAAGATTGCAAAATGGTGATCACTTCCGCCGGTGTCGTCTTCGGAACCAGCAAGAATGGAATTGCGAAGTGGTCATCGCAGAAAAGGAGGACGTGGTCGCTCAAGAAGACACGTCTCTCTCACGTACTTTCGAAGAATACCATTTCTCAATTGGGACTGAATTTAGCAGCAGACCACGTACGTGCCTATGAGGCGTGTCACACGGTCCAGCTTTGCGACGCTGTGTTGCTTCTGAATGCTGATTGCAACACCGACCCATGGCCCCGAGTTACGTATCACGGAGCGATGATTGGAACTGACTATGAGAAGAAAAAGTGGTGTCCTCGGCGAGACTTTTATTTTGACTGGCGCTGTTATGCCGCAGCACCCAGATGACGAACGTCGCTTTCGTGGGGGAGTTGGCTGCTGGCTGGCCCAGCTGCGCCATAATGGCCAGCCAGAACCTGAGATTCCAGAAGGGAACTAACTTGGTCTGGACGCATGCATTGTCTTTGAGGAAGGCTATTTGGAGTTTAAGCTGCCAACATTTAACTCATCGAGCATCCAGACGCCCACACATCTGAGCATCAAAGTGTAAGGCTGCAAGCTGCCTTACCTACGACACATCTCTTCATCTCTCAAGTTCATCCTCACTTATTATGCTTTTTTTCTTCAATTTAATTCTTCATTCCCATTATCTATAGTCCAAGATGCGGAAGGCAATAAGGCCTGCAGGTTGAGCAATGGGGCGCACTCTGCGATGTAGGCGACCCAATATATCCTTTCTACCATTACGTGGCAGCTAAGCGACAAAGAAAACAGCAAAGCACTGAAGGACGCCATAAAAGCTCTGGATCTTGCTTGCTTTACGAAATGACCAGATTCAAGAGGCTCACAGTGCTTCCGACGCCTTAATTGTATCGTTGACGTGTACAACGACATCGTGCGCTTCTTCTCAGACGCACAAGTGCTGGTATGCTCTCTCAAACCTCGCACTTTTCGAGTCACAAAGGTCTATGCGGTTGGCAAAGGCCTGAAGGAGCTTGACCAAATATGCCGAGTATGTGCTATATCTAAGGCGCTGGTAACGATTACCAGCGAACCTGCCCGAAGATGACGGAGAAAGCGTGAAGCTCCAATTCATAATGATGTCTGGGAGGAGACTTCATTATATCCTATGATGGACACAATCGCACCATGTTTTTCCACCGACCAGGCACCGTGATATTTTATCACTCGTCTGTTCTCCAAGAAGGGAGATCTGCCCGGCCCTTTTCGAAGCCTACATGAGGATTTGGAGAGGCTCATGGTATCATTCTATCTAATACTACTGTTTCGATGGTGAATTTCATTTGGGCTCGAGAACCACTTGATTAACCAAACATAATATCAATCATGGCTTCCCAGCACTGCATGGGTGACATACATGAGAGAGTAAACCGGAGATTGTACGCGTTGGAGAGACCAAACTTCTTCTAAGTTGATACTCCCTGGTTACAGACGTAAGTACACCCTTCGATTATTCTCATACTCTATATACACCTATCAGGGATCGGGTCAGATAGGCATCTCGATGAGGCCTCATCCGCTTGCACAGGCCAGTGAGGCCTCGTCCGCTTGCATAGGCCAGTGAGGCCTCATCGAGATGCCTGCCCGGCTTCGATAACCGCACCAGATATTGGAACTAACTGAGATATTATAGATATTTCGCAGCAGCAGTTGCTCTGACGGGCTATGATGTCGGAGTTATCCGATCAAGTGACCATACACGAGGGAGACAAGAAGTCATTGACGCTTCCAATGACCAGACCAACGATCTAAAGATTCGTGTTGCCAACATTTGGACAATCCACGAAATGGCCGCTCCAATGATCTATATGCCGGCTTGCCATCAATCAATCATCCTGTCCGGCTCCCAGGTGATGGATGTATCATATACATGCGCTTGGCTCCTATAGCCACGCAAGCTCTCTCGACTTGGTGCCCGGGCTCCGGTGCCTCGACTTCGGCACGCCATCCTGCTGATACTGCGCGGGGTCCGAACTACCCTCGCTTGCCATGCTAGCAGTGTGTCGGCTGCGTACCGTCTCGCCCTGGGGAGATGCACCCCTGCCGCTAACCCTGGGCGTCGCAAAGTATTGACGACTAGGGTCAAGGCTCCTCGCAGGAGGCAAATGATAGGCAGATGTCGGTGCATTATGCCATGCACCAGACAGGAGATTATCCTGTATTATCTCCAAGTCTGCGCCGCGCTGTGATTTGCCTCATGCGAGGGGCCTCGGCCCTAGTCGTCAACCCTTGGCGACGCCCATGGTCAACGGTAGGGGTGCCTCTCCCTAGGGCGACATGGTAGTAGACCCTTCGCGGTATCACTCTGATGTGAAGAGGATCTCAGAGGCGAGGAGTCCTGAACCCTCTTTACATCACGGCATACCTAGGTATGCCCTTCTACGATGGATTAGCAAGGGAAAGACAATGCTGATAATGTCAAATTGTCTGATGCCAATCAATAAAAAAGCTACCGTGAGCTCTTTGACTATGGCACTGCTCGCAGGACCTGGGAGGATGGAGGTGCAAAGCAACAGAAGCTTGAGGACGATCCATCAAAGGATGCTTAGCTGCCATATGGCGGATCGAATAGCTGGAAATATGTTCCGGCAAGTTGACGAGAAGACAGTTCGCCAGAGATGCAAAGCGGTGAAAAATATTGAACATCATATAAGCTCATAGCTTGCGCTGCTCATGGTACAAGTATACTACCGGATTCGACGGAGAAGCCGTGTCGTATGATCTGCTGGAACACCTACATCATACAAGAGCTCTTGAATGGAATTTTTACGTGACAAGTGGTGAGGAAATTGCGAAATATGCCTGCCTGAACATGCAGGGAGAGCCCAAAGCTCGAACATCCCCAACTGACCATGGTCAGCGCTTTATCATTATCAAAATCTCCCGGGACATTCTACGGTCGCCTTCTCAGCAAGGAATATCTTCCGCTTATATTTTTGAATTCCGAGGGTGTTATTGATATCGGAGATGCTCACAACAATCTTGCGGACGATTGGACTGACAGTCAAGCCCAGAGAGGCGACAGAATGGCGAAAGAGACTTAGTCTCAGCCGTAATCCCAGATGACAACCCTAGGAAGAAGGGTCTCGAGGGGCTCTTGAGCATGCCAAAGAGACGAAGCGCATCACCCAAGCGACAAGTCGTTTGATGGATGCTCTGGCGGCGATGAAGATAACAAGAGGGCAACTGGTGGACTCCTACGCCCGAAGTGACTCGTCGCTCAAATTGCTACGGGGTTGCGTGGCGCCTCCGGAGGCTCTCCTACCCGATTTTTCTAATAGCAAAAGGGGATCCGGATAATTGCTGATGGTCTCTCCACTGGGAGCGTCGCTGAGTCTACACTGGGTGGTGTCACCTTGGCATCGAACCGTTCGCCGGAGCAGGGTGCGGACTGCTGAGCTGACGCCATGTTCAGAGGCAGCGCCTTTCGGCGTGCAGCCTTAGGGAAGCAAAAGACGATCACCAGCATCCAGTGCCGTCGCATGGAACAAACTATTCTTCCAGCAGAAGGGTCAATGGAAGACTCACCAAGAGCACCGACGCCAACGCCGACCAAAGGGCACTTACAGGTTGTATCTCATCCACATTACTCGACCTTGTACCCTCGGAGCTCGTCACCGGCGTCGGGCGAGCCGCAGCCGACCAGGATGCCGGCGAGAGCTCCACCACGCCGGTGCCCGACGCGACCTCCGGCACCCAACTCTCAAACGAGCAGAGGCGAGCGCGTTCTCGTGAGGCAACATGGCCAACCAGTCACTGCGGCCGGCACCGTTGAGATGGCAATCCAGATGGCCATGTTCGCCTCGAAGACATACAGCCGAGACCCCGTCGATATCACCGCTCTAGTCCCACTAGAGTAGCGACGCTTCCCATTGAAACATCGCGGCGGTGATGATGCCCCTGCTGCCGGTGGTGGGTTAGCTCGGTACCACCGGTAGCTGTCAATGCTACTTTTATAACACGAGGGAATCCCAGAAAATGTCTTTGCCCGCAAAGGACCGCCTGACGCAGGCCAGGTACATGCTGTGGAACTCTCCTTATGTCGCCGCATCATGCATCCAAAAACCAGCAGCGGGGGCTACGGACCCTCGTGCCCACCAACAACCCGCTCATACCACTACTTTATGAGCTTTATTCGCCTAAATGCTCAGAGTATGTTTAAAAAATGCTATCTCTTGGAGCATCACCCCCAAAAGGCAAAACAGTTATGGGCTAGGGCCGCGACAACAAGGGTTATGGAGGAAGTGGAACTGACATGCTGCCTACAACGCCTGATATAGGTGGCTCTCCAAACACTTCACTGCGTGATACTTCGCTCTGGAAGGACCCTTCTGTGAACGCAGGAGAGCAATTTGCTGCCCCCGTCTCACCAGCGGACAGTTAAACTGGTGGAGAGACAGCCGCACTCACGGACGAGGCTCGCGAGAGGAAAGAAGGGCCGAGTCGGATGATGAGGTGTTGGAGTGTAAACGGCCCAAAGGCTAGCGGGTATCAATGCCTTGACCGCCACTCCTCCTTGCTCTATGAGCTAAAATGCGCAAAGAGATCGCTTAATTCCCCCAATCTCTTGGCCCGTATTAATTGAACTATGGCACAGACTTCAAATTGAGCTTTTGGCCAGTGGCGTGCCATCTGAGACTTACTAACTAGGCAAATGGCTGTTATTTACCTCCCTCGCCAGATAGCGACATTCACAGAAATTAGACATCATATTACTGCCCTACGGAGGTATTTAGAGCAGTCGGCAGAGTACAGTACCGATATACCATATATCTATCCCGGGGTTATCAGTTTCCAACAGGGCAAAGAGCGCAATTCCTGGTCAGAAATAATAGCCGAAACTGATCAGGGAATGAAAATAAACCATTTTCTACAAGCATCAAAAGGTGGAAAAAGAGCCCATATCGCCATCTGTTGTTGCCCTGTTGGAAACTGGACAAAGCAGAGTACTGATGAGGACAGACACCAATGGCTTCATTAGCACTGTTTTGCTGTATTGAAATTGGCTGATAAATTCAGGCATTAAGTCGCTTATTCTCGATTCTACGATGGGTTGTGTCATATTATTGCTCAGTCGTTGGAACTGTGACCGCGACTATGAACCATTGATACCATGTGGCATGCCGGAGAGTTCGCAAAGAACTGGATCTTATCTGTGGCTCGCACGTTGCCCATTTTCTTGCCTAGGAATTTTTTGGAATGAAACCCAAAGCATGCCTATATCAAGGCTGAATTCCACCGGCGTGGTTGAGTGTTCGCCACCATTGGCTTTTACCTTTCTACCTTGGGATATCCCCCTTCGTTCGGAGCTGCCTCTGTGGTGCGAAGCGTGCAGAGGTGTCAAACAAATGGCAGCATCAATATTTTCCTCAGAGCAGTCTGAAGAGGGATTAGCTGCCTGAAATGTTTGTTATTGGATCTGAGAAAATGGTCAGGAGTCACCTTGGGCGTAAAAGTTTGTGGTCAATTCTGGCATCTCCCCGTTTTATGTAACTAGAGGCTCTTTGAGGCTCTCCCCCAGGTCCATCTTGATATTAGCAAGCTTTTGATTTTCTATTGGCAAAGGTTCGCATCAAGTCTTATTCCAGATTCCATACAGTCAAGATACCTGGTTAAGCCCTCTTCACGCACACACAATTGTTCAGGTAATATTGCGGGTAGCGGCCATGAGAGAAACACACTCCCTGGGATTTAAGCACTCTCGACGGGGAAGCCCGGGTTGACCTCATCCTCAGCAAGTTCTGGCGAAGACATCCCTGGTACGCGGCTCTGGAAGCAGATCAGATCCGTCAGACCATCCCAACCCTCCTCCGTTGCCAACGGGCCAGGCTCACCGAGCCATGACAGATGCGCGAGCAGGAGTACCTACAGGCTATATGCGACGGCGAACCTATGTGGCTTACTAACCCCCAGCTCTTCCGAGCCTATGCGTCGCATGATAAATGTTCGATGAATGTCTCCTAGTACGCCTGCAGGCCGATCCTACTGGGCCAGTCCGTGAGACGTGGCATACTTACCGAAATGGAGCTGCTAGACGGTTCAAAGACGTACAAACCCCGTATCCATACGAAATCATGATGCTGCAGTTCTACACAGCCGGAATACCTGTCGTAGGCACGCTCAATCTGAAGTCCTTGAATTGGGAGGAAATGAAGATACTTAGTGTAGGAGACGGCACGGGTTATAGAAGCACAGGCGAATGGGAGAGATGGGGTAGCCGTGCGAGGGGAAAGCCGGTAGCGGTGGACCTGGACGAAGATGGGGACGAGCACGGCGACGTGAACACCGAAGAGCGAGCCGACGCGCGAGGATATATTATTCATGGTCACCAAGGAATGAACAAAACAACTGGTGAACTGGAGAAGGGGGGGGGGGCGGTACGTGTACCATTCCCACTGATCGGACTCGTGGCAGCAGCCAAATATGTCCGACAGATAGACTGGGCGTTAAACGACAGAATGACCAAACTAATCAATCGATACCACCTCTTCGAAAAGGCGGCAACAGAATATGGACGCTCCCCTCTGACCCAAGCTCTGAAGCATTAAAGGACCTGATTGGAGACGGCCATAATTCGACTAACAAATCCAAGATGGCCACTGAGATACCCGAAGGGTGCGAGCGATGCTGCGTTTGGGGACTATTCCTTTGATGACTTGTACGGAGCGATTGTATCTTTCTTATACGTTGTTCATAATCGGAAGGGAAACGCCAAAAAACTCACCGACCGGCCCGGGCAAGACCTAAAGCCGGGCGACCTTCAATATGTGCCAGCAACTGCCTCGGAGAAGAGGACCTCGTCTAGTTTGGTCTTCGAGTCGACATAGGACTCTTCTTCTCTACGCACTCAACTAGACCTTCAACTTCCTTCCACTCTTCCTTAAAACACGCGAATCCCTCTCCCTATCCCAGCTACAGTTCCTAGAGCCCGCCGCTACCGCAGAATCCATCCACCAACTGCAGTTGTCTAAGTTTGTTGAGACAGTACACCAAATGTATTGCGGTATGGGATGATAGTACCATCGAGCAATGCGGGATAGTGTCGAGCATTGCTATATTCGAGAACTGCCTGCAGGAGGCAATCCACACAGACAGGCCAAAGGGCGGGCGAGGCCAAGCTTACCGGTGGACCTGGTGAGGTACGAGGACTCGCACAAGCAATGTCAACCAGCTTCGGGTTCATGTGATGACTCCCTTTGAACGAATTGGGGCGAGTCAATACTAAAGTAACAACCAACAGAGTCACCAGATAGATAAGAGAAGGAAGATATATTAACATAGCTTCCTATACGCATATCAACTTCATCAGTCAGCAACCAGCCTGGGAGGCTTATTCAAGCATTAGAGGAATATATCCTATCAAGCTTAAAGAGCCTCACCAAAGATCATACGAGTAGAGGATTTATTTTATACACCCAGCAGAAAGGAACCTCCAGCCACCCTTACTGTTACTTATACCAGAGGGTAAACGAATAGCTCCCACTCTTACGATCTGCTTATACGATATCTTCTTAGAAGATACTTTAATTAAATACTTTATACATCGGGTCCGTATACCCAGTCCTTACCTACAAGCTGATATTATATAGAAATGGAGAAACCGCGGGGAATCCGATAATTCGGTTATAGCCACAGGAAGAGAGGGAGAAATCATACCTATTTCTGGGGTTAACCTCGGGTTCCAGCCTGATGACTGTTGTGTGATTGAGGTCCCAGGAACTCCCCGTCCTTGGAACCCTGCTGAGACCGCGGAATTCCAGCGATGGCTGGGCGAAGAATTTCGATTGTTTTCCCCTGCCGAAGCCTTCAATGGGAAGTGCGCCAACTGCCTTTATCATACTTACGGCGACCGCGGGCACGAGTATCTCAATTATCGACCCGTTGACAGCGCGGAAGAGCTTGCCGGTACTAGCTTCTTCCTTGGGAAATCCTTGGTCCTGATTGACAACAAGCCATGCGCGGTCTGTGTACTGTAGCTCGAGAAATACAAGACACGCGGGAAGATGCTGAACTTGGAGGAGCCCGGGAAGCTGCTGGATTGTGTTGATAACAGTGGCTTCTATATGGCAAGAAGGCCTTATATCAATGTATCACACATGAGACAGTAGCACGAGATAACCAACTTTATAGAGTGCTCGCGCCTGGACATGGAGGCAAGCCGGGCCGACTGTGTCGAGGATGAGAAAGGTTCCATGTTGAACTTAGTGCTAAGAGCTGAGCTGGTTCAGGTACAGGACCAGAACGCTACTGGACCGCCGAGCACCAGACCGCTGCTCCATGGCATCCGTGACTCTATACGGGATGTGCCTGTGGATAGGGACTGCTGATGTCTGGTGGAAGGCGAAGGTGGGCCGAGCGTGCCTCTATACAGCTACATAGTTGACGTGTCTCCTCGGGGGCTCCCGTGCCGCGTCTCTATCCCAGGAATCTCGAAGAATTGCAGTTAAAGGGAGAAATTAGATACCTTGAAACTCGCGGAATGATATTCCCTGACTACCGTTGCCGGTGTGCAACTGCGGACGATACGCGATGGGGACTTCCAAGATATGATTTGCTCCAACTATGGAGTCTTGACAGAGCGTTCTCAAGGTTCGGTCAAGCCTGTGGGGAGAATCAAATTTAGGAGAGACATGGTGTTGCGGATGCCCGCCTACAACGAGGCGGTGCCAGTCGGTAGCAAGACGGACTGGAAGAGAGAGAGGATCATGCGGCCCCCGAGGTCCCACGGCCCGCGAATCGAAACAGACAACAGCAACAGGCAAACGCAAGAACAACTCCGCTTGCTTTCACGAGTCCGCGATCACCATAGGTCGTGGACACGTCAACACTACGGACCATGATGGTCAGGCCTTGCAGATCCTTTTTTTGATCCCGGCCCTGCGCTACAACGCAATGAAATTTCGTCTTCTTCAATAAGAAGACCAACATATTTGCCCCTTATGGCATGAGAGAGCCAACATGGAAGACTCGTCGACTGTGAGGGGTTGACCAGTGATTTAAGGAAGAGGATCATAACGCAACAATACGCGGTGTCGACAACCGCTCCCGAGTTGATCGCGCGTGGACCCATCACAATGATTGGGAATACCCCTTCGCTATTCTCGAATCAAAGCAAACGGGGACCATCATACCTCGACAGTATGAGAAGGTGATCCAGGATGGTGCCCATCACTGGACTAGCGGGGAATCTGTTGAAACTTCCGAAACCTAATTTCTGGGAAACTCATACGATATCATGGCCTAAGCTGCCAGATACAGCGTGAAATACCACACCCCATACATCACGTTACTTGATTAGGGCCATTTGGTTCTTGCCGTGATGAAAAAGGCTTCAGGAAAGAGTGGCGGCACCTACTTCCGGCTGACAATGGCACCGAAGTTGGCACCTTGGATCCGTGATAACTCCAAGGACCTGAATCTACGTGGGATTCGAATTCCTCCCGAGTCTCGACTGGCAAATGGCGATAAGCACCCTTGGCCAATCAATCTAAGTGCTTGGAGGGCTACAGCGAGCCGGCTTAATCCCAAGGGAACTCGGCAGAATGCGTGGCCCGGAATGGCCAAAGCCTACCCCCTGACCTCGCCCTGTTGGCGGCGAAGATATCTTACAAAGCGAGTCGAGCCATGAACCGAAGGCCAGGCGAGGTGTTCAAATGCCTATATATCGATCAGGATCTCATGAAAACAAGCACCTTAGTGCTCCTGCTACATGAAAGTGACACTCACCCTTCGCAGACTACTCAGCCTCCTGGTTTGAATGGGTCTTGCAATGTATATTGCTCTCATGCTTGAAACGCTACATGATGGTTCTGAACAGGGCTGTACCACTGCCCAATATGAGAATATGTGCCGTGGGCTGAAAGCAACGAATACTACAACTGGCTCGGCTTGAGGGCACATGAGCATGATGGCAGCTTAAAGCTTGCCGACAACCACCTTTCTTTTCGAGACGAAAAGAATGGCCAACCCCTAAGCGATTGGGCCTGATGGAACAACCTCTAAATGAGCCCGGCCCTGGGGAGCCGTCGTTCTCCAGCCTGGAACAAGATCGAGATATCGGGAATGTAGAGCCAATGCCTGCGTGGAAGAGCGACGATTAGTATTCATCGCCATCCCCCAGAGTGAGCGCTCGGCAGCACTTGAGAGATGTTCGAAATGTCTTTTCGCAGCTTAAAGACTCACTGCCAAGGACAGACATTGGCACTGAAAGTGGCCGGGCCCTGCTCCAACCACTCCCACACGATATTGCAGGCTGATGCTCATGCATGGTTCGAGTCTTGCCAACATGCTCTCTGAGTAGCACCAACAGGATGGAACTATGTGCTCGCTGTCGCACTTTATTCTTGATCAAAATCTGGTCAATAATATTTACTCCTTCTACTAACGCCGGGACCGGGGCAAGTCTGATGAAGAGCCGTACTTCTTCAGTGCAGGGAACAGCGTTGATTTTGGTGCCAGATCGTCAGCCATGCCTCTCTCGCAGGTTGTGGAGATGCTAACCGCTCGTGTTCATATGCACGTCTGGTCTTTGAGTATCGAGGACAACAGTACCAGTATTGCGGCTGGACGCTTCTCCAGTCTGCGGGGGTTCAGGATGCGCGCAACTACCAATTGCGCCTTCGCATCTGGCTGAACGACCAGCCGTATCCTGGCATGCCACCGCGGTGGACTGCCCTCGTCAATCATACACGAAATGATGACGAGCATCTGGGGCATGCAGCCCCGCCAAGAAACGACAGAGTGAGGTCGTGGCGGCACTGAGAACGGAGGGCACACTACAGGCGAAGATAGACGGGCTCAAGACCAGCGAGGACGGGGACAAGAGGATGATGGCTGCGATCCACACAAGGATGACGGATCGGAAGATCATGGCCAAGAGCTGGAACATGTTCCAGCTATGCACGGCGCCTATGGACGTGGACACTCAGGCTGTCGGGGGGGCGAAAACCTTGCCACGGGGTTCCTCGCCTTGATGGCAAGGGGGGGCGAGGACTTGGCCAATCGTACTGGACGGCTGCTGAAGATGTATCCCGATACGAAGAGCAAGAATGCGGTGACCGAACATAGGAAGAGATACTGCGAGGCGCAATTGCACCTATACATGGAGGTCGAGGCATGACGTTGACACGAAAGACTTCAAAAGGGCTCTCAGCATCGCAGCTGAGGTCCCCTATAGTTCAATCGACACCACGATGAACAAGGGGAAGCGGTGGGTGAATCTCTGCGGAGGGCACCTCGACCTCTTATGGGTACTGCCGTCCGACGAAGGCGATTGTGGCGTCTCGGGGATAGGGAGGGCTTCGGGCCAGTGGGATCCGCGACTCAGCCTGGTGTCGAATATCCGAAAACGTCACATCCCTCCGATCACGCACTGGGAATTGTGATGGTGGTAAGGGGGCAGCGACGGTCTACTGCCGTCATAGAAGTTGGCTGGATGCAGAGCAGAGCTGCCTTGGTTGTTAATGCTCATTGAATCAGACGGTGCCCTAGACGACGGCTCCTTCATGTTCGCCAAATGGCTGAACGACCAATAGGCATGGATGACTTTATTCCTTCTCGCCCGATCGATCGTGGGAGCCGAACAACTCGCATCCTGTTTGAAGACGTGAATATCGCAGCAGATTCCACTCGTTTCAGGAGAGTTGAACGTTTGCTTTTGTGCTGGAAATGGTTTGGATTATGAAAGGGGTTCGTTATGTGCTGAGATCCATTATCGCCGGGACCACTCTGCCTCTTTACCCGTGATGTACACCAATAATGTTCGTCAGCTCCTTTACTCCAGTTGATCAAACGCTTCGGTCCAAATCGTTATAAATTGCGGCGCATTTGGCTCATCCTCGCTCTATATTCATAGACACTCTCATGGCGAAGCAGCAGGACTTCAACGACCCCGAGTCAAATATCCAGATCCTCGTAGCGAACGTCAACAATCTGGTCTTCGGTGTAAATCTCTATTTATCTGGAGGTTTACCAGGTGGTACCCCTAACCATGTCACATTCCATCAGCCGCACCCGAATCCAAAGATCCCATTCGAAAATGCGCCACAATGGCCGCCACCTGAACGAATCTTATGGCTGGACAGGCGACATGTTATCCTCAAATAAGAAGGTTCATGGAGAGAGCGAATCAATACTGCTCTGATAGTGTTTTAATATATTACATATTATCAGCATAAACTCTGATACAAATCGAGTGGAGACTCATCAGAATCTCCCTCTTGAACCTAGATTTCATCGGCAAGGTACTTATCGAAATAATTACCTATGTGAAAAATCAAACCAGTTGTTACATGTGACGACTGGTCCGACAACTAGCCGGAAGCTCCTTTAGAGCAACGATAGATAGCATATTATCAATGGGAATCTAAGCCTTTCATCATCACTTTACACGTACCAATTGGTAGCAATTCCTACGTTCGACAACAGGACCATAACCATAACCATTCTCTATCGGCCAGACAAATCGATAGTTACTTTTTGATCTATCAACACGAACTGCTTGAGATGCTCCTCCAGTTCAGTGACGACCACCAGGAAACTTTTATGGGGAAGCACTTCAAGGTTTTCTTAGTTGCTTTGTATTGGTGCTGAAATCCAGCCGCATGTTCCTGTTGCCAAAAGCCTTTCGCGAGTAACATCAAGGTGGTTTGAAGCTTCAGATCCAGCAGTCAAGATTGTACTCTTAATCATTGGACCACCGCTGCAAATCTAAAAATATAAGTTTATTGGTCAGCGCCTAAATCCGGAAAAAAAAAACATATATCGCCTTTTGCTGTGCCCCAGATAGTGGCTGGGCTCAACAAGCTGCAAAGGGCAGATAGATCGTTAGGAATATTAGCACTTATTCGCTATTTGTATCATCTCACGCCAGCCTTATGGAAAGGTAATCGTTATATATGAACAAGAGCCTACCTAATTAAATTTACCATCAGGCCGGAGTAGGGATATATTACGATGGCTCTAGCGATATATCTGGACATTTGTTCAGAAAGAAAAGCAGTGCTAAGTGTTCTCTCTCCTGGTGTTGGGAGACAGACCAAATAAAGCGCTGCCACTGCCTCTAAAGCTCATTAGACCGAATACTCGAGTGGATGCTTAAGGGGAAAGATCAATACTTCCAAGAGGATAACAAGGAAAATAACCCCTGCTGGCCGAGCAGCAGATCCTCATGATGATCTACGGCTTCAGAGTTACTATCAGCATATTACTGAGAAAAAATAGTTATTAGTTTTTTCGAAAAGTGGAAGGCTAGTCCTATACCATACAGCTCCGCAGCATCAAGTCGACCTAATACCCGACTTCCAAAGAGAGACAACTAACCTACGCCCTACAATACATCCGCCTATCCTGATAATATGAAAGTGCTCTATAATGGGAACCGTGGATAACTGGGTAAGGATTTCCCTTTGCCTCTTGTTTTTGACCCAAACAAATGATCTGACCAATTCATTTGACAGGAGTGCCAGTCTCCCGCTGCCCCTACCAACACTCGATCTGCCCGAGTGAACGATCTTCACTTCGCCGATGAGGAATTGGAAGTTGCGGTTCTCTCTGTGCACCCCCGGCCTGCATCAAAGACTCCAACCAAGCCTTCCGCGAAGGCGAAGGGTAAGCAACGTGCCGCTTCCGAGATCCTGGCCTCCACGCCCCAGCGAGCTGGGCGCATTCTTCCTGCTGTTGGCGCGCTCCGAGAGAAGTGGTGCCGCCGATGCGCGTATGCTTTCGTCTTCAGCACAAGCACCGGTGGGTGTCATGATAACTTGAAGGGCGGCAAGCCAGAGCGTTAAATCTCCCGCCCCAAACTTGCACTTGTTTTCCTCTTGCAACCACCTACATCACAACAACACTCTCACTTTCCAACGCGCGTACGTCTTTATCGCTTCTCAAACTTCATTTCCATCCTCTCCATTCGTTTGCAAGCATCAGAAGATGCCTCCCAAGAAGAATGCTCGCGCGGCCAAGGCCGCTCAGACTCAGGATGAGTCTGATAATGAGAGTATGTCCCGAGATTTCTTTTACTCCCCTAACCTCTTTATTCCCAAGTCTGTTCATCCGAGCGGCCATCGCTTCTGGCGGAAGCTTCAACATTCTCACTACCTGGCGACAGGTCTCAACCCTTCGCAGCTCCCTGTGAAGGTCACTCGTTCCACGTCGAAGGCTACCTCTTCAGCCTCAAAGAAGCGGACCGCCGACCTTCTCGTCAGCCCTTCGAAGAGATCTCACAAGGGATCGGTTGATCACTCGGAGCGTGATATCTCGCATATGTTCACTCCGGAAGCACGTGAGGATCTGCTCAAAGATGCTCGACTTCGAGCAATCATGCAAGTCCAATTTGGTAAGTTTAACCTCGCTGCGCCACCTGTGCCGACGGGGATACTTGCGACAACATTTTCTTAAATGTCGGGGAAAGTGCCCCAGCTGCGAAAGTAATGGCACAATCTGTGACAAAGCTCCGGAAAGTCTGATTTGCCGGCCGTGCAAACAGGAGAGAATCCGCTGCATCATGCCAAAACAAGTCACGCACAACTGCCCAAAATGCGATTTAACGGGTAGCTATATCGCGCCTTGCCAAGTTGACCGTCACGAGAAAACCGAGTTGGACAACTGGGTAAGGATTTCCTTTGCCTGGTTGGCCTAATCTGTGACAGATAATCAATTGAAAATCAGCCAATAACCCTCTAAGTGACTACAGGGTGACTGGAGGTCCCCTGCGACTAGACTGCGGCTCATATCGCCGATCTGGTTAAGTCGACAGAGTTCCACGAGATTGGGTTGAAGAACAAAACTCTCATCGAAATAATGTCTGCTCAAGTCCGGATGGACGAAGAAGCCAGAAAAAGGGGAAGGCCAAGCACCGCCTCAAGCTTCTGTGATATAGTTTTCTGGAACCCAGTAGCACTTAGAGCACAATGCCAACAAAAGAGCGATCACTCATACGGACCCGTTTCTCCCCAATATATCGCTATTGGAGTAGTTGCTACTTCGCATTCATGTGGGTAGGGGTCTTGAGTCCCGACCCCAATGCGAAGACACAAACCGTCCAACTAGAATATCGATAGATGCCCAGAAGCATTACTACTGCCTTGGGTGATGAAGGGCTTGGCAAGGCCAGACCTCAACACTCCCGCCAATGTGACGCCCATCTTCCGGTCAACACTGACACAATGACACCTGAAAGGATGTCTGAGGTCATCAGGGATTGCATGGACAGCTCATCCCTTACATCAACCGTTCCGTTCATTTCAACAGATATTTAACAAATGCAATCTTGTGATTGGGGCTGCCTTTGTGCACTTTGGGGAATTTATGATATATCATACTCAACTAAGGATATTGGTTGGCATAAGACCGATGCCAGCGAGTAACTGTCCATTCGTTGCTGACGATACGTTGAGACGAACCCTCGGCTGGCGACAACCTGACGGACTACTACCTCCTTTCAACGTATTACAATGATTGCTGCGTCATCTTCGTCTGCTCTCACGTCCCCTTCAAGTCTTGGTTTCGACAGCGGTAACACATCTGGAGGCTCAGTCATCATGCCACTATGATCCCCTTACCCGCACCAGTTCAGCCTGTGTTCGAGGAGATTCCTAACTAGACACGCCATCTCACATACGAAAGGAACTACCCTGCACCAAACGAATTTGGGATCAAACAAGAGGACCTCTTAGGCCGTATCTTACGCCCGATAGAACGTACAGACCACTCAGGCTCCTTATCCTGTGCAGTGTCGTTTCGAGGTTACCGACAAAGCAAAGTTCTTCCTGCGTTCCAAGCCTAGCCAAACGACGCTCAAGTCCTAAACGCATCCCTGAAGGCAGTGATAAATACGTAGCTGAACGACTAGAAATCAGCCCTTCTAGCAAGCGAGCAACTTTAGGAGACACCTGCGATCAAGTTCGCCAATGACGCTACATTCATCTTACGCCAGGTGCACGGGGCATAGGACACCTTAAAAATGGTGTCGGCCTTCAGAATGAGACCCTTCCCTTGCGAGACATCAGTACAGCTGATCAACTCAAAACAATTCTTCACGATATACCGGAACCGATGCCCAACTGGCTGTACCTTTCATGAAACGACCGGCCCAGCCGACAGCTATCTGCTTGGGAACCATACCTAACATATGTCTTCAACTCCATAACCAAGGCCGCACAAAGATCCGTCGATGATTGGCATGGATTCGCAGAGCTCTCCGCGATGCAATGTTGTGGGGTCGTGCCTGCCCTTAGAACTTTCTTTAGCTAGCTAGACAAGAGGCCTCCCTGGCCTCCAGCCACAGGCAGTATGATCTTAGCTACATCATCATCTCTTTTCCCGTCAATTGAACAGTCAAATCATCAAAATCCATCTCCTTTCCATCAGTGAATAGTTAGCAACGCCTGCAAGATTCGAACTTGCGCTCCCGAAGGAACAAGATTTCCAATCTGATATCATGTTGTACGGCAAGGAACATGTCTTTGGGCGTTTGATCGAATCTCTAGTGATCAATGCACACAGCAAAGAAAACCAGAGTCAAGTGTATTCTACACGGCTACGGGTGGCTATGGCAGATTTCCTGCGGGACTTCTAGTTGTTGCGGGGCAGCATAACGGAGGATTCGCTTTTGGGAGCTGGTAAGGTTCGGGAGGCCTGAGAGTAACATGCATGGTGTGGAGTACGTCATCAGCCCAGAAGCGACGGGGACACTGGGCGGTAATGAGATTAAGCGGCATAGGGTCTTGCTGGTGGTGAGCAGGGAAATGGTCCGGCTCGCTCGACAAATTCAAGGCATACTTCTCGAAAGGGGCCCAAGTGGCTCACGATAAAGCTGATGAACTGTCTGCAGCTGGCCGCGATTTGATACGACGAGTTCACAACGGCGATTAATGCCAATTGCAACACGATAGCATGCGGCTGTTTGGCCCCCGGGTTGATGGCCTTACTGCCCTCCTTCGCGCAGTTCGTCGCCCAAAACCATCCCCTCCAACGCTATGATACAACCCACGTGTTCGTCCACTGGGTACCCAGCTATCTTAAGTCAGGACACTCACAGCCCAGTGTTGGCCGCAGCCCAACATGCAGGCCATATCCAATGTGGGAGTTCTGGAAAATGTCGCCGGATTTAGGAGTTAGATGTATGAATCGGTTGCTAAATCGCCCTAGAGGAGAGCACCCTGACCGTTCCCTTACCTCAAACAGGCTACCCGACTATGATATATGCCTCTCGCAATATGTATTGCGAAATGCTAGGGACCATGTATACTAGCCGACGGGGAAGAAGCCCAAAAAGAACAAGGCTAGAAGCCTGAAAGCAAAGGAATGGTATAATATGCAGCAGAGCCCACCTAAGATCGTTCGAGCTTCTCATAATCACTGGCATGACTACTCGGAACTCTCGGCGATGCTCGATATTATGTTGTACGGGCGAGAGCACATCTTCGGACGTTTAATCAACTACTCGACGGTCGATGATAAAAAAAAGAGGAGGGAAATACGGTTAAGAATACTTACTTGGCAACTAACGAGTACGTGATATTTCCGGAAGGGACCTCTATCAGCAGAGGCTGTCACAGGGTTGGGTTTTCTTCAATAGCTGAGTTCTACAAGGAGTGTGGTGGCCGACGATTCATCTTCGGGTATCTTCATTTCAAGACGAACGGCAGTGGGTATCATTGGGTGTCTTTCCTATTTGACAAAGTCCTAGCTATCTTTTATTTCCTGGATTCCTGATCTGAGCGACGCAAAGAGCGGTTTCAGCCAGCCAAGAGCAGCTGGCAATGTTTCTGCTTGAAATGAACATGCCGGGTGCCTTTATGGCCGTTTGCGTGCCACTCCTGAACCAATAAGATGATTACTCTTGCGGCGCTTTATCAACCCAACAAGTTCATGATTCATAAAGAAGAGGATATTAGAAACTCCTTGTATAGACTCAGCCAAGACTCTGGCAGGTTGATTCCAGGGTCTATAATAGTAAAAGACCAACTTTACTAGTGGCTTCCAGTCATCCGAGGAGTATTAGCAAGAGGTTGGGAATCATAATCTTCTCATCGAAACAGTGAACTTCAGGGATAATAATCAAGGAGGTAATATCCATCCTGGATACACAGGCGTCGTTTATTTGACAAACAACAACAAACAACACGCATCAAACACGCTGCCGCCTGGGCAAAATTGGTCACCTCTCCGCTCGCGAAGAGCGCTCTTTTTTATCATCTTGAAACTACATAACTACTCATGACCGAACTTGATTTTTATCAGACCGAAACTTTTCACACTCAGGAGGTGCAGAGGCGTATCAAGCAACCAGACGAGCAGCAAGATTCCGAGCCTCCGTCACATGCTCAGAATGCAAGATCGAGGATGCGGGTTGAAATCAACGACACTTAGAGAAGACTACGAGATGATCTCTCCTGGCCTCAAACCTTTCAGCAGGCTTATACTTGACACTATTTCAACTATATATAGGAACTTAGTATTACTAGTCGAATACTGCTGAGTCTATATTGAATATACCCTTGCTCATGATGGATGCCGAAAGGGAAAAAGCCTGCAGTGAAAGTGTCGGAGGCTAATGAATCTCCCAACAAGAAGCAAGGAACGCTGCGCCGCGCATTGCCTAAGATGGTCTCCAAAACGGGCCTACTGTCGTCTTTCTAGTCACAGGTATTGATGTTTGAAGAGGACTACACTCGCAGGACAGGTTTTCTCATAGATTATATGATTAAATTCTTGTCTAGAGGCTGCTAGATCGATCTACCCACATGGCCCGCTTGACAGTGTGGTGCCAGCAGAACATACCGACAGCACTCTAGACGCCTGACTCTTCTGCGGTCTCCTTGTGGTCTGCTATATACCATTATTTGAGAGAAGTCCATGCTGGGAGCACCTTTTGTTAGGTGGTCAGGTGTTGCCCGACCTTCAACGAGTTTAATATATCGTGCCGAATTAATGATAAGGATACATGGCGTTCATCTCTCTATCTGGCCGGCGAGTGACACAGGCTCAGCTGATCTGAAGAATATAAGCGAAGAGTGTGATCAAAGTTAGGATTCTTAATTCAGGCAACAAGCGGTTGATCCCTGACACGAAAAGACCTTGAGGAAAGCTTCTCAAGTCATGTTTCAAACCAGATTGACAGCCCAACCTCAACCTCGACAGAAGCTCAACCCGAAGAGCGAGCCAAGATGAGTGACGTATCGGATCAAGGTGTCCTTTCTGGTAGCTCTAAGATACGTCTTGCGGATTCGCAAGACAATGAGCGCCCTCTAAAGCGGGTAAGGAGGAGCAGGATACGAGAGAGGAATGGAATACTTGCAAATCTTGCTGTGGTCCATCTCACGAAGCGAACCTACCACCGGGCGTGGTGAACGTGGTTGGCAATGTCGATCCCTTACACACTCATCGACTAGAATCTGGGGAAGCCTGAGGATGCGTGGCCCCAAGCTGCTCAGAGAGATCCCTTACCAGAACCGGCCCGTCTTCCACGGGAAGTACGATGAGAGGGAACATGAGGTTGGATTAAAGGATGATATTTTGGGGCATCTGAGCCCATGATGCCCACATGTTCCTATACGGCCTAGCCAAGGGAGAGATGGCCAATGACTGTACTGTGGGTAAGATGATACATGCTGCTTCTGTGACATCAGAAGCCAAGTCTATCACAGCCCGTACGCCTGGAAACTCAGCACGAAGAGGGAGGATGGTAAGCTCTTATTTTCCGACACGTGCACTGTCTCCGGTAACTCCCTCCCTTCAAAGTTCATAGACGATGCATCCTCTTTCCGCCAGGATCGCCCCATTGGTCTGGGGCGGTTTCTTGCCTACATTGTTCGTGCCGGCAGCCGATCAACATCTCTTGTGTTTGACAGTCGCCAGTCCTTGTTCTACTCATGGATGCCTGGGAGAAGGGAGGGAGAAGAAAATAGCCGCATTGGTAAACTGCCTGGCGTTGTACTTTTCTGGTTTTACATACTCTCGCTTGGCTTATGCCGCTATCCCTTGCACAAAGCAAGAAGATAGTAGCTCTCGAGGTCTTTTTGGCCCACTGGATAACCGTGCGAACGTACCGCTTCGACGGTCCAAATACCAATATGTACCTCGCTCACCAAACACTGAACACCATATGCCGCCCGACACTACATAGGCGGAATACATGGAAGAGTGAATTGGAATATTCGCGACAAAGCACCACCATTAATCCGGGAAGTTCAGACTTGTGCTGAGTTAGTCCTCACGATCTTGGAGAAAACATGTGAGTCCAAGAGAAACTCTGAAACTCCTCAGGAACTGTGGTCGGAAACCATTCTTTGTGCTACGTAACTTGAAAACATATCTCATTGACGGCATCTGGTTCATCGTAACGGCCGTTGAGATTTGGATGGTTCGATGAGTTGAGGTATTGAGCACCGGCCCATGTGATCACGACCGTCTACATCGGAAGCATTCCTGTTCCTGAGGTCCAAGTTGACTGTGAAGTCGATACTGGCTCAACCATCAACGTCCCTTTTGGCGACCCTATGTCAACGGAAAATGGAGCCGCTTGGGCGTAAGTAAAGCGATCCTGTGCCAAAAAGCAAGAGCTTGCAAATAACTAATATTAATCTGGCAGCTATTTGCCATACTTAAAAGGAGATTAGCGTTTGGCCAAAAGGTCCCGCGATTCATACTATCAGCCATAACGAGATCATCGTCGATGTCAATCATACCGTACTCTACATCAAGCTTCACAGCAATGAAGAATTTGCGATCTAATGAACTGGCGCCCACTACGGTTGGGCAGAAAGCTCTCTACCTGGAAGGGCTATGAGAGATATAGAAGCGTCGTATGTTATGTGTTATATCTCGGTTCCTCCCTGCAATTCACGACGAGATTGATAGAGAGATATCCTATCAAATCAGTTCCTCCATAAATACAACATATCTGCCGCACAATGTCCGAAAAGGTTACCCTGTACGAGCTGCCTTGTCCCACGAGGTATCTCGTAGGCGATATCCAAAGAATAAGTACAGTCAAAGACTTGATCCCCCTAGCAAAAAGCATCCAGAGTCTTATCCAAAAGTTACACAGTTACTCAATTATCTTTAGGAGAGATATTTGATATTCTGGAGAAGATTTAAGGAAGTTGAAAGCCAATACCTTCAATGATGAGTATGAGTCCGAAGGGACCTCGAATGAACCCTATTACCTCCTAAATGATGATGGTAATGAGGCGGAGGAAGCCATTGTTCTAGGCCAGAAGACGACCGAACTGATCCAAGAGGATGATGACCCAGGCAGCGATCTCAATGGTGAAATATCATGAGTTTCTGCAACACACAACAAAGCAATCACGGAACATTCCATCAACTCGGCCCCCCGATCGAGCTGCGATATACGCCGCATGATTTGCTAAGAGGTTGCCCAGAACATTGCGAATTCTCTCCAAAATTGCGGCACAACTGTCAACGATTCTATGGCCTTGTAGAACTTAAACAGACACGGCGACCTCATCATGAGAGCCAAAGCCTGCTTGGGGGGTTTGATCCCGGTGAGATAGGCTTTGGTATCTTCTGAACGAGATAACCGAACTCTTGGACGTGGTCAAATTGGCAGAGAATTGGAAGAGAAGAATACGCGTTGGTAACGGGGACGTGAGAATGGACGATGTGGTTCGGGTAAACTGACGCGTTTCACACGATGACGTGAAATGAATTGGCACATGTTATTGATTGGTTTCGCAGTGGATTGTTTATTTGTTTGGATTGACATGGGACTTGAATGGTAGATGGAAGGAAACACTCTTGTTATTGGACTGGAATTACGTTTATGGGGTTCTACACGCAAAAGGTCACTAACGAGGCCGTCAGTAGTCGACGACCAGGGGATGTCACTTGACACACGCCCCGAGGAGAACGCTTGACTTGAGCAAGACGAATATCATCTGGATCTGCAACTTTGAGCTACGAATCTGTTGCAATTTACTCACCTTCTTACCATCCCGAGCCCATACTGTTGTTGAATCCCTGATCTCTATCATTCATCATGCCTGATTTACCCGGAAAAGCTGAGGCAAGGTGGCCCTGGAATATTTCTTCACCTGAGATCCCCCCAATGAGGAAATTCAAGCCACTATAAATTTTCTCCAGGCTGACATATCGAGTGAAAGCCACGGACAAGAGGACCCTCGAGGTATTTAAGAGCCTGTGGAGCGAATGTCCCTGGCGAAGAAGGCCCAAGAAGTCCTCACGAACGAAGCAGGAAACAACCCATATGCCCACGAATATCTCGATTTCCAGTCGACCTTGGATGGGGCAAGTTCGGTCATTGAAAAGCCTACCAAACCCACCGGATCATTTGCTTCAATACCACCAAGCGTCGCAACAACTGGAAGATCGCGGAGAACGGGTGACTTGAAACACCCTCCGCCTATTTGAGCGTCATGGTAGTGCAATCTGCTATACAAAGAAGGCGCTCGTAGACATACATCTCGCTCTTCGAGATTATGTTGTATGTAATGATGGTTGGGGCTGCCGTCCGCTCTCGCCATACGAACTTGAGGAGTTGGAAAACCATTGAGGAGGCTGGTTTCAACATATGGGCCAGAGCTTGCCAGATAGCAGTCCCCGAGGAGAAGGACTACATGCTGAAGCATATGGAGCACCGGAACGCCAGTATATGGGCGTGAAGAACATGAACCACGGCGGACACCACCTCACTCTAGAGGAGATGAAACGGAAAGCCATGACTAGAGTATCACACACTTCATACCATGATACAGAGTACCAATATTCGAGGATAAGGATCAAAGAAACGGAGAATATATTGTAGTGTGACCGGTGCTAGCTTCACGGTACTGCATGCCTCCCACCACAAAAGGAGATACATTTCTGGCGAGGTTCTTAAGACTATTGGATCGCCGTCGACATACTTTGCAAGCCACGCCGAGATCGCCCTAAAATTGGGGTTCAAAGGAGTCTCTAACACATCGAGCATGGCTATGCCATATCAAACGTCTCTCAAACATCATCGAATCATATATCAACTAGCTTTTGATGTAGGATCCCGATCTCAGCTTTGAGAAGCACGCCGTTGCCGTTGCCATCACCAGCCGCGAGGATAACGGCAAGGTTGTGCTTGTCTGAGACGCCGACCGGTGGCAGACGGGAAACAAGTCACCATAGAGCAGCACGTGTTCCGCCACAAGTATGGTATATGGGAGATCAGTGGTATCGTCGATGGTATCCCCAACATCGGTTGAAGCAGACACACCACATAAGCAAATCCCCCCAGAATAGCACCAATTAGTCCATATCAACGGCCACATCGATAACTAATAACATACGACTTCACGAGACGCACCCTTTTTTTTGGGTGGATGATACGATGAACTTGTGCAAAGTTGACCCAAAGAAATACTCATAGGCAAGGGAGGCCCTAATTGTCAAAATCAGATTGACAGATTCTCTCAAGCATGACAACCGCCACAAATTCGGCACCACAAAGGACATTGGGCTCAAGATGAAAGAGCTCGAGAAACTCGTACGCATCCATGGAAGAGATGTCATGATCCCATGGCCACAGATCGGACGCAGTAAGGAAACCAGAAATGGATTCCTAGTAAGACAGTGGAAAGAAAAGATCCTCCCATGATCAAAGTCTGATAACATCTTTGTGGGAATTATCAATTCGAAGGAAGAAATCTTTCTGGCTTGGATATCTATTATTCAAGGGTGGTTGGGGGATTGAGAATATGCGAAATGGTCCAAGGCCCCCGGCGAGGAAGACGCTTCAAAAGGGACTGTGGAGTTGGTTGACATAGAAGAATGCAGTATTTTGGTGGATTTGATACTACGGGGTTGGGGCATAGTTTCCACCGATCGGGATGCGATTCATGATCGCTTTGGTAAACAGATTGCAGCGCCATGGGGGTGCTTGAGATCTTGGCATTGTTCTTGGGTCAGGCAGTCGGTCATTCCTCTTCCCATGGAAGGGATAATTGACTGGCTGCTTATTGTTTGGCGATTCGAGGTTTCGCAGCACTCGACCTGTCAGTATGATCCCACAACACAGACAAGCCCTTTATGACCTTCATCTGTCTCGGGCAGGATGAGAAGGGCCTGAGAGTTCACAACCTGGTGCACATTGGCTTTGCTCAGCTCCATCATGTGCAGCGAGCTGGGTATACGCAACAGCGATGAACTGGCCCGCGCACTGGGCGTCTAGCAGCCGGAGTTCTAAAAGATGCTCCAGGAGGCAAAAGGTGACAAGACGAAACTTGATCATATCATGGAGGATGTGGCTGCTGTGATTTCTGCCCGCCACATTACGGGAAACCCGCCCCTTGTTGTCAAGCTAAAACGCTCTACTGGCGGTAACATGGTAACATCATACATGCTGTTCATCTGCCTCGGGCAGAATAAAGATGCAAGCCACGCTTCGCCTTCCAGCCTACCGGTAGGTTCCAGCCCATGATCTGGTGTGTCGATGGCGTAACCATAGGTAATGACAGCGATAGGCTGATATTCATCTTTGACCCCGCGAGGATGTATGCACCTGGAGGTGGGTAGGTTGTACCAGGGAATATATCACCTATCATCAGTCGAGACCTTAGAGAACCCATTCTCTATGATGCTATTAAGGTCAGATGGAATACCGTTTTCAACAGATATATCTGGATTGTCTTGAAGGATATATCGATCCCGATATGGGATATGCACCTCGAGTCAACTCAAGTCGTCGGCCTATCCTGCACACTCATCGCAAAAATAGTGCTCAAGTACCTAGTGGTTGTGTTTTACGTACTTCGAAACGACGCCCGAAATAGTCTTCTCGGAGACGCACCCAAAACTCATTCGCGTCCGCCTGGTGTATGAGACGATCAGCGTCAGAATCTGCTGGACTATAGGGACCACCCCTGAAAATGGCGAGGCATTCTACACGCCCATCAAGATCCCACCAGCTCGCTTCTCGACTCATCGAGGTGGCCTATGGCCCTGATTGCTATGACTACGCTGCCGCCTCTGCCGACTAAAGCTGAAGCGGAGGCGGTGCTGAATTGTTTCTTCGAGCAAATTCTCACCGATGCAGAAGTCCAAGCCTGTCAAGTGGATAGAATAAAACATGGCACACCAAAGCATTCATGCAGCTCCAGATTTCAACACAATATCCAAACAATCAACCCAGTTATCAATACAATATCAAGCTGAATAATATACAATAATGTATTATTATACTATCATTATTTGGAATATTATAATGACAGCATGAGGTCTCCAGCTTGCACACAAAGAGCTCTGGTGTACCATGTTTTATTTCAGCCACTTGCCTGCACTGATTTCGAGGCCCAACATACCCAAGCGAGGAAGTAATTAATGGCATATGGCCAACGCTTGTGATCGAAGCGGGATACTCGATGTCTCTAAAATCGCTGGGGCAGGCAATGAGATGGTAGTTCGCAGCCTCTGATCACCAAGTCAAGATTGTCCGTGTGAAGGAGGATCGCCCATCCAGAACTATCCCCATCGAGAAGTGAATATGTATCGAGCCAAAGCGAAGAACAAGACGACTGCCTAAGTATTCGACATTGAATCAGGAGCAGCTTGGTCTGGTCTGTTTCATCAAGTCAGAGCACGGGATCACCAACGCCTGTAAGTTGCTGCAGAGACACTTACAAAATCATAACAAGGAGCAACTTGGTGAGAAGACCGACTTCTGCCAAAACATGGTACGCAGAATGGTGACTGCATTTCCCACAGCATCAGACTTAAAGGTCCTTTCATACGGCTCCTCCATCCCGTTGTAGTCCCTGGCGGTCTAGTGTCAGCCGCAGCCATTGCGTCTCGCAGTGCCTTGATCACATGTCCGCAGTCCGACCGAGAGAAGGCTGTAGAGGCCTTTAACCGCGAGAGCTCCGGAGTTGACGTATGTGTAATATCAATAGCTCTGTCGGCACTGGGGATCAATCTCCATCATCAGTGTCCACGAGGCATCATCCTCGAACAGGCGGCAAATCTGTGTGTCGAAGTGAAAGCGCCCAGAAGGATCTGGAGAATCAGGCAGAACAAAATAACCAAGAGGGAGAAGTTGTACCTCCGGGATTCATTAGATTGCTTACTTGAAGCGCGCAACTTGGAGAAGTATGCTGAGATCCTGTGTGCGGAGGCGAACATCGACGACCGAATCAAAGGGCAGGCGAAACTTATGATGGCGTACGAGATCGCCCACGCGCAATCTCAAACAACTCAAACTGAGGATGGTTTTGTGGCGATATAGCAGCGCAGTTGGCAGACAGGGCTGATGGTAGGTCTCCGAGAGACAACAAGTGTGTATCTGCAAAAATGTACGTAGATATCATAAACGTTGAACCGATGGCGACTTAGAAGGCTGACGCCCATTTAGAGTTTCCTGAGTCTCTGCCTAGAACCCATAGGAAATTCTTAGCTCATTGTAAGTATCATCCTTCAGCTTCCTTCAACATTAAACTAATTTGTCTCAGTTTTTCAACGTGAACAATCCGAAGAAGGGCCCGATACGTCCAGCAACAATACGGAAGTCGACCCAAGACTATGACAAGGATCGCTGTGTAGTCACAGGACTTGCGAACCCTCAGGACTGCCACATCATACCATTCACGTGGAATTCCACAGAAGAGCAGCTCCAAATTCCAGAGCTCTTGCAGAGCTGATTAGGGATTTCTTTAGGCCCGATAACCCGACCTTCAGTCAGAGTCACGCCGCAGCAACATCTCCGAGCTACACAAAACAAGTTACTATACAGACCATAATGACGTCTGGATACAAAGATCCGTGGCTTGACTGCCCAGGTGAATTCCAGCCTACCTACAAGAATAATACCAACTCTTTGACTTCATGTGGTTGTCATCTGGCACATCCTGCCGTGCCTTCCGTAGGTTTGAGAAACAGTTTGCTATCTCGCCTACAAGAGGCGAGTCGGGTTTCAGGATATTAGCTTGCTGTTAGGCAAACTAATATCCTGGTTCTCTGGAACCTTCCATGGAAGAGACTGCTGGCCTATTTAGATAGACGAAGTGCCCAGAAGCTCTTCCATGGTTGTTGGCTAGCTCCATATCACAATACAGATCTTTTAGTTGGCTGGCTTCTATAGCTCAACATCACGGCTCCCCGTTGGTCCCCTTGCCCAGGGATCAAGGAAACATATCGACCTAAAAGTCCGCCGGAAGACTCAAGCGCAAAGCACACCGGGAAGCGCGCAATGCTGAGCCAATGTACGCCAACTACACTCCCTTTTACGTGCCCCCAAAAAAAGGATGTTTCAACAACGTCTGATGATGGAAGCAACTTTGGAATGCCTCGTCTGTTCCTGTACCATTGGTACGTTGGCAGTTGCAGCGTTGAGCCTACTGGTCGCTCAGCCAAATGGATTTCGACATCACAGGTTAGTGCTTCCAGAAATCAAACACCAAGCAACATTCCGGTTCGACCTGGAATATGCAACCCAGGATCCGCTCAACGTCCTCATGAGCCAAAACCAGAAGGACGTGATGCAAGAGGATATTCTTCGTTGCCCGAGTGGCGCAGCAGCATCAGCCAAGGTCATTACGGAGAATGAACGAAACATGCCGCACGATAAGTCTCGGGGTGAATTCTTACGCCACTGAAGTCTAGAGTTCATTCAACAGTGTCTACAGCTCGGAGTTGACAGAATGCAACACTCCCATAAATTCGTAAGCAATTACATTGTCGACCACCCTGGAGTCGTTTCTCTGGTCCATCAAGAACATCCTGCTCCGGATTCCGCTGCTTCGATGACGGAACTATGTTCTCCCTCAACGAGACGGATCAACGACGCTGCAGGGAAAACAAGCCCCGGTTATCTGATACTGCCATGCGGTGAGCGAGTGACAGAAGCTTCCAAACTAATTAGAGGCGCTCAGCTCTCAATTTCTTATGTATCTACTATGAAGTAGCAGAATGAGCTAATCCTGGTGCTCGCAATCAAGCAGCCGTGAGGGTGCTCAGTGGCCAGTACGTATTCTCATCACATTCGGTGATTGTTGAAGCCCAAAGACGCGATGCACTCCGCTCCAAATCATCATACACCAATATCAATGTTCAATTCAGACCGAGCGGCGGATCGACAACCGCGGCAATCGATTCAGGCTGCTCCGATATATTGGTCGATCGAAAGTGGATACAAACAAACGGAGTCAAGCCATACTACTACAAGGCCACAACACCGAAAATCATGAACGCGGTAGGCGGAATAGTAGTAGTAGAAGATAAGCTCCAATTTGACTTCTATATTACCGCTCAGTGGAGGAGATGGAACCGGAAGTTACTCGTCCGGAATCCCGTACATACAAGAGAAGTACCACGATCAAAAGGGAACACGTCGAACGCAGACACGCAGACCTGCTCAAAAAACTCTTGAACTACGACTTTACAAACAAAAGGTATTTGGAACTAAATCGACATAATCCAACCAGTAGAGAGGACCGTACTATCTCTGGGGAGAAAAGGCAAATCGTTAGGTGGGCAAGTCTCGTCGAACAGAGGGATATCGAGGCGGATATGAGAGCACGAGTCAACGAAGACCTGCTCGAGTACGTCACGACGTACGAACAATCTGTACCCTACGTCCTCAGTTGGACATGCGATCCACTATACCAACGGGGAAATCACGCACATGGCATGGCGCTGAGGGTCCGCCGGAGTGAGGAGTAGTTGATGTTTGTGTTTTGGTGCAGCGTTTCGCACAGAAAGCCCACCGCAGGCTCACCGTCTGAATTTTAAGAGCCTATAGTAACGTTCGTTCCGAAGAAGGAAGTTCGAACGTTGGCGGGCCCTTGCGAATGCTCCCACTGGTCCTAACTACACGCAACAAGGCTGGGTATCTGACATGTCTCTTTTCTTCCATGTGCGCCGAATGCGCGTAGAGCTTCGACGGGGCTTACTATGTCTCACTTGAGAACCGGCCTAGGAGACGCTGAGGTGGATTGAGCCGGTATTAAATTTGGCGATGGAAAGGAGAAGAGCACATTCATGTGGCTTAATCGATGGATTGAAGATATCTCATGATATACCTTTGCATCCGACTTTCCGCACCTGGTTTCTTGCCGCTTATAACCCCCAACGCGTTTCCTGCATGCTTAACAGGGCTACGCTCTAACACCGTCGTCGCATCATCAGTCTCTTCTTCATATTTCTGGGCTCATCGGTCGACCGAAACCTTAGCGGCAAACCGCAGCAACCGCCCTGCATTCGACACAGACACGTTTAAGCGTTCTCCTGTTGACCTTTAGACCGCAACCATGAAGCAAGGAGCCCTGTACTTCGACCAACTACTTCTAGGACAAGACATGCCACAAGGCATCTACAGTGCCACTATTAACCAGCTCAGATTCGAGCACCTCGTCTGGGTGACGGGGGTCATCCTCCACAGTTCCATGCGAGACTTGATCTCCCCCATGAAAATCGCCTGGGACCATATAGAAATGGGCGACTTCAGTATCCTACAGGCAGCAGAGGACCTCGGCTGGAAGGAGGGCTTATATCGGGCGGACTACGACCCGTGGGCCGCACAGAATCACTTCAATATCGACGGTAGCGAGCGTACCACTACTGGTATATTTGCCAGCTTGACCAGAGGTGATGTAGAGGCTGATAGTCCTCTAACTACACTTGCTGCTCTGTTCGAGCAGTGCTCACGGTGTTAATAGAAGGGACATTCTGGGAAGGAGTTTTGGGAGAAGATTGGATTGAAGTCTCGTCTGGGCGAGCGAGGGACTGGCAAAGACAAACAAGCAATTGTGTCCCTTCATACGAGCCTGGGCGCCCGGAGCGATTCGGGCGTACCAGAGTCGAACGCATCCTCATCCATCTCGGTGGAAGAAGAGGACCCAAAACCGTTCATGAAGCTCATTATGCCACTTGCGAGGCACCAGAGATCAGCTCGAAGCACTACTGCCTGGGCATGCTACAGAGGCTGGTTCATCTCACCTAAAGACGGTGAACACGGGACTTGAACATGGATCTCCGGGGAGGGATATATCTCCTTCATCGGACGGCGTGTCTACTAGGCTCAGCTCAGGCTTTCGGCCTGCCTAAAACTGGAACAAGGGATATATCCCTGACGAGGAGTTGACAGCCAGTACTCCGGAAAAGAAGACCGCCAAGTCCATCGGACGCCCATCACCCAACTCTCTTAACTGTCCCTGTCTTCCCAACCTCCTCCAGAAGACTTTGCATCTATCGTCATCAATCTTCACGCTTCTAAGTTATGACGGGCGTTTGGGCCACGAAAAGTAACTTCTTTGAATGTATGGTCGGCAAATCCCACGTCCTTGGCAATGACCGAGCATTTCGCCGACAAAGATTTAGCGAAACCGAATTTTCCTGGCCCTTAGAAGGTGAGCTATTCACTCTAGCTTCTGGCAGCTTTGGAGAAGAGGAGCGTGAGGGTAAGGGGGAAGATGGATGTCAGGCTGAAGGCTTGTATGAGCCAGCGAACTTGAAATAGCCGATCTGGAACGTATCTACACTTCTGGCTAGTAGTTGAGCCTATCGTGCGAGCAGCCCGCGATATATCATCCAGTTACCGATTTGATGCGTTTACGTTGAGGGAGGTCCTGTTGGCGACACCGAAGGCTATATACGAGGACCCGGATGAGACCCGGCACCTGCCACAGACTGGTGGATTCTACTGGATCCAGAAAAACCGTATCTTCAATATAGTGATACATATGATGAGGATGCCTATGAGCATTGCACTGCTGCCATCCTATGGCTCGCGCGGAAGACCTCGGCTAGACGGGAAATATTAGGCGTAAGATGGTATTTAGTTGCCGAGTTAGACGATGTGGCCAATGAAGAAGCATGCATGAGGCCCGAGTCGTGTCTCCAATCAACGCATCGAAGCTCAACTTTGCAGCCATAGCCCACAATCTGAGCGAAATAGCCGAACCAATCAGGCACCTCGGACAGGAGGATCTATCTGAGATTGAGAAGGTCAAGACTACAAAACATAAAATGGAGGACACGTTCTCCGATCACCCGACGAAGGATCTTGCAGCCATACTGGGTGATTACCACGGGCACCTTAACCAATGCATCCTACCTGTTAGGCTACGACCAGGGGCTTCAAAAGCCTTCTATAAAAGAGCTATTCCCAGCCAACAGATAGAAGCAATACAAGCCTTAAGAATCATATTATCTCACATACAAGTGAAGGTATTGTGAACCTAGGCTTCAACCACAAGCTATCCGTCCCTGGCTTAGCCAACTACGAATAATCCATTTACGGCTCCAGCCTGGTTGTGGCCAGTCTGAGCGTAACACTACCCTACCTATGCCGGCCTCCCAATTCTCCAGAGACTCGGTACCAAGCTGCATCGAGCTGCGGCATCTGGCAACTCCGTAGATGATTTGCCGGCAGCCCATCCAAGTGCACCGAAGTAGCGACAAAATTCCTCACCGTGCGCAACGATACCGAAATACTCTAGGCCCTGAAACGTGATGCCCCCGACGGGAACACCACAGACAAGCAGCTAACCTCGGCCTTTTATCTGTACGGATTCGTCAATGGTCTCGGCTTAGAAGGCCCTATTACCCTCGAGGAAGCATGTGAGGCAACTGGCGTGACCCGGCATGTTTACATCAAAGAAGTTCAGCCGTAACCCTGTGGATATTACGGCGCCCGTCCCGCTGGAAGAACGGCGCTTCCCCCTCAAGCACCACCTCGATGGTGATACCACGCCAATCGCTGGCCTGCCCTACTCGTTCGACGACATACACCTGATGGTGCTGCTTCCGCAGTACAACATTACACGGCGTAAGCAGAAGAAAACCAAGGCATCAGAGAAGGAGAATGCACAGACCAAAGGCGGCGTCTTCGCCAACCGCGTCGGCAATAACGCTGGCAGCGAGATATGGGCCGGCTATGCCCCCACCGACATGAGCGAGAAGGTCCTCGTGTCTCGCAATCACAATGACAATATGTCCAACGCCTTGGCCAGGCACCAGGCCAACCTGTTCATCGCTACCCGTGACATACCGTTGATCCTTGTCCTTTTCGGGTCCTTCTTCCTTCCAAAAAGCAATCCCTGCGATCCTGGTACACTTCTCATACGCTCACGATCTTGCCTCACTATTGCCGCGCGTGCGACTACACTCGTCCTTCCCGTTCCCCTGTCTTGTCTCATTCATGATGTCGGCTGCCCCCGCCAAATGATGGTGGCAATCCTGGTCCCAGCAAGCACCAGGATGACGATGAGGATTTAATGACCCGACCTCTCATATCCAGAATCTCGTAGCCAACGTAAATACGCTGGCATTCGGAGTGCATTTGCACGGCTGCTGTTCAGACGGAGTTTTCATCTGTTACACATCGTCGGCCCAGACTATCATGCAGATTGAGGGCCGTCTGATCCGTGTCTCCCATCAACGAGGTTGGTAATGAAATGTCAATCACAGAACTCGACGCTCTCCTCGTCCTCAGCTATCACGACCATCAGTCTAAAGCCATGTTGGCCAAGATGGCAAGACAGATGGTCGCGGAAGCTGCTCTGCCGGATTGGATGCCGCCGATGCTACAGGACCTCCTGGTCTGGGAGGCTCTTAAGACCAAGTTTGGTATGAACTTTAATCGGTACGCATGAATCTTGGGTAAGCAGCCGCTGCTGAATTCTGGTAGCAATCGGCTCGAAATTTTCTATTCGTTCGACCCGAAGAACAAGGTGGTGATACTGAATCGTGGCGAGGATGAGATCGCAGACGAGGTTGCCCACGAAGCGCTTAGAATGCTCCATCCTGAGTATAAGATGCGCCCCGGGTTGGATGTTCCTACTGCGATTGGCGCAGAAGAGGTGCACATGATAGCACAGATGGACAAGGTAGGGGGGCTACCTTCTTCCACGAAATGAGCAAGTCAGATGCGGACCTCCCAGCCCCCAAGTGTCCCCTCTACTACACGGAATACTCCATGACCACGAACTCCGTCTTTACGCGCCTTATGCAACACGCACATGTTATTGTGCTGGTCGGCGGACGTCGGCTTTGTATTTACACGGATACGCCGTGGATTCAACAGTAAGTTGTACCCCCTCGCTCCCTCTTACCCCCTTTTCAACTGGCCATCAGTGCCGCCAACTCAGCGAATCAAAGATGGCGACAAACTTCTCCATCGAGGCCATGCTCACCGCGGCCGGCCAGGGCGTCGAACACGCTGTGCTTATGATGAATCACCACATCATCACTGTACAGGACCCTAAGCCCTGGCGGAACGGGGGGTTGATGATGGGGAGCACGATCACCGGCTCCATGCTCAGGCAAACATGGTAAACGTGAGCCTGCCTGACTCGAGGGCCACCAAGCTGACTGGCCGTGCACTGTACAAGCGACGACTTATCGTCACGGTCATCAATTACAAGCCGGCCTGGCTAGAGGCTTTGAGGGAACAATAAAGGGATTCATTTCTTACCAGCCACACTCAGAGCTTCTCTTCCCTGGGCACTGCGAGGAGTCAATCTGTCTAACTCGAAGAAGTATTCCTCATGACTGCTGGTATTAAGCCAAAGACACTAGAGTGTGCATGATGGCGGCGGCATCTGGAACGCTGCACGTGAGACTGGGAGAAGTGGCTTTTTCGCTGTTGAGGAGTAGGAGCCACGCTTGGTCCTGAGCCAACTCACCAATACGTCTCGGTTCCAGCGCTGCAAGAAACTCGCGAGATGACCACTGCGGCCGAACCCTCTACCAAATGGTGAAATAATAGGGCTTGTTACAAAGCCACGGACCTTGCACGAAAGGGATTCGATGTGTGGACGCTTCGCGATCTCACCATCTCGTAAGTCATTGCCTGCCACGACAACGGGCAAGCCATCTGGAAAAGTAATGTTCGTTCCAAATTGAGCTACCCTCACAACTCTCACTGCTACGTCTGAGCCACTACGAAGGAAAAATTCCAGGATTGCCGAGGCCAAATAGTCGGGGCCTCTCATTTGTGGTTCAATTTGGTTCCTCGGCCATCACCCTGGCAGGACATAAATAGGCTGGAAGACAGCTCGATGCTCTTTTCCGCGGTTCACTCCCTCTGGTCAGCAACATACTGTTGCGATAGCGCTGGTAGCACCGGCGACGATTTCACCAACGCCACCAACTGCTTCCGACCTTTATAGGGTGGTTTACGCAAGAACAAAACTTCCTAAAGTCCACACCAAAACGAAACTTCGACAGAATGGGAGGATTTTCATGGAGCTTCCCGCTCCCCAGATCAGCAAGGCTAGAGTAATCGGGAACAACTCCTCCTTGTTCATCGCGAGTCAAAGGAAATAGGAAAATATCCGAAGCACTTCTGTTGAACATGAAGTGCACGCGTTACATCTGTCCAGATGGCCCATGGCCGGGCTTCCTGGCAATGTCTGTATTTTATGATGAAGAGATGTCTCGGACCAGAGTTATTTCTGCTGCCGCCCTTCGGGTTTGGAGAGACCGAGGCGACGGGCGATATGCCGACATGCACGCGGTCAGAGGCAGCAAGGCGGTTTCCCTACGCAAAAGGTGGAAAATGCCGACTTGAGGGGATCGATGGGAACACGATCCATCTAAGACGGCGGAAACATACGTCTTGCGCTCTGGCACCAACGTTGCATCCGCGTCCAAGAAGCGTGTGTCGGATACTCTCACCAGTCCTCCCAAGAGGACACGCAAGGAGTCTGTCGATCGCAGCGAGATTGACATCACTCATCTTTTCACGCCTGATGCTCGAAAGTCTCTGCTTCATGATCCGTAGCTTCATGCTGCCGCTCGGGTTCAGATTGGTAAGTCCACCCTACAACAAGTCTTATTGAACAGCTTCATATACTCATCACGTTTTAACTCAGGGCTTGATGGACGTATTACAAGCACGAAGGGTAGCACCGGCCACCTCTCTCCCGTTGTAAAGACTCCCTCCCGCTAACTCGCTCAGATGAATGCTGTTGCCTCTTCGTAAAAGGTAAACTCTCCATCTTTCCTCCGCCGTTCAGAGGCTCTAAAAGATCTTCCCGTCCGCACGAAGAATAGTCAAGCTTCTCGCGCTCGTTCTGTTGTGGACGAGGATAAAGAGTTCTATGTAAGCAACTTGCATCCTCCCTTGATTGTTTGAGTTCATCACTAATCAATTGAGTTTTAGTCGGGCGAGGAGTATATCGAGAAGCTCGTCAATGCTTTTAACCCTGTGGATGACGACGATTTCGATGAGGAGGAAGATCGTGATTCTGACCTTCAGTTCGTGTCGGAGCAGCCTATTGTCGCTCCGAAGACTCCCTCTCGCCTTTCTCCAACGGCGAAAGGACAGCAGAGAGCAGTCTCTGATGCTGAGGTCAATACTCCATCCCGCTGGAAGTGAGTTCTTCCCGAGCGTGGCGCTCGTACTGACGGGTGTTATCACAATCTACTGGGAGGGAAGCGGTGCTCGTCCTGTATAGATGGAGATTCTTGCCAGGAACTTGACAATTGGACTCATGCCTGGATTGAGGCCTACGATGAAGCCAAGAGGGAGGAGAACACAGTGGGAAGTGACGCTCTCTTGATCTCTGCGATACCTCCTACTAACCAAGAGTTCCTTTTGCCTGGTTGGCCTAATCTGTGACAGGTACTCACAGACCCTAAACCAACTTTGAGACCGAATGGCATGGTGGTTTAGGGCTTCAGGCCATCTGGTGAAGATAGTTCTTCTGATCAAGATGGACCCTAGATCACGAGATGCAACATACCCAGTTCAAAAACTTCTCGAATAAGGTGGGTTTGCAACCGCGAATCTAGACACGGGTAGTCGTGCGGCGTTTTTGGCTCGCATACATCTATTGAGGTTTCCTTGCAGTCCAAGCCAGCCACTTTCATATGGTGGCGGCGTCCTCACAAGAAAACTTGGCCAACCGGCCAGATCCCACAGAACTTAGTCGCCAGGTCTAGCGAGGCTGTACTGAGGGTCCAATCCCGAAAGAAAACTCCCCACCGCTTGGTCTCGTTTTCAGATGAATGTTTGATCTCGGATCCTCCTCACCTGCGTTCCACCTTAATCACTCGTCATCAGCCCAGGCAAGTGGCTGCAAGGTTCGATTCCTTGCCTCTTGTTGTCCATGTGACCAGCTTCTCTGCCCCGGGTACCTCACTGTAGGGTTGTGTCAAAATAAAAATGAAGCCTTAATAGGAAGCAAGCCGCCATACCATTGGGACTTTGCTATTCGTTTATCTCTCAACTTGCTGAGGTGACTATAAGAGGATGGATGAGTCTGATGGAAACCGTGTTAGCATCGCAAACTCAAGATTCGCCGGTGGGAGGGTCGGAAAGCGAAAGGAGGAGCGCATGAATTCGATTTGGAAGCTTTGGTTCTGCAATGGACAGCAGTTGAGTCCAATCAATCCTCCATTGCCCTCAACTCATGGTTGAGACTTTAGTAGCGCCAACGAGTCAGGACACCCTCTGACAGATGACTTCGTGAAGCGCGCGACTGCCTTTCTTTATAAATATCAGCGTAGAGGCACGGAAAGTTGGTCAAGATGCCCTTTCTACCCGAACTCGGGGGTAATGACGAGACGGCAGACTTAGACCTACGCAGCTGGAAGGCGAAGACACTTGGCAATGTTCCCATGAGGGACGTTGACGGCGATTTACTAGCCAATGGCAATGACGCGCATGCCGCGCTTCTAAATGAGCCCAAACGTTGCCTGGCACGGATTGGACGGCATCCGCTTCACCCCTTACATGCTGTAATTGCGTCGGCTGCGTCTCGAGTTTGTGTTCATCGATGAGGCACAGGTCGCCAAGAACATCGATGGCATCTATAATGCGACGACAGACGAGCTGCAATTTGAACACCTTGTCTAGACGACAGGGACTATCTTGCATAATCATCTCCGGGACGTCCTCTCCCCAGTCAAACATCCGCACAGCAGCGAAGGCAGATGTGTTCTCACAGTATCCGGTCCAGCCCCCCCACTACAACAGAAGGAGCACCCTCGAGCAGCGACGCTTCCCAATGGCCCATCACCCAGACGGCGACGACACCCCTGTTCGAGACCTGCCATTCTTCCACGACATCAATGTGATGATTCTAGTCCTGCAAAATAGCTCTACTCGTCGAAAGCCTAAGTCACATATCTTCCGCCCTAGCGTTGGCGACAATACTGGCGCCGACAAATGGGCGGGCTTCGTGCCCAAGGATATGAGCCGCAAAGTCCTTACATCCCGACGCCGGAGTGATTTGATCCTTTAACGATCTAGCCTCCAAGATCCAGATCTTGATTGCCAGTATCAATACCTTGGCGTTTATGGTCAATCTGCATAACTGCTGCTCGGATGGCCTTTTCATCTGTCTCGCATCATCTGCCGCGACCATGCGACAGATTACTAGCCGACTCATCCGGCTGAACCAGACTCAGCCGGTGTCGTGGTATATCATCCGACTTATAAATTCGTGCCATGACTATCAGGAGCGGTCACTGACCGGTAAGTGGGTGCGGCAGATCGCGGCAGAGTGCCGCATGCCGCCCAACCTGCCCCTCCTGTTCCAAGAGGTCCTCATATACGAGGCAATTAAGTCGATGTGGTGCCAGTCATTCAACAGGTTTGCCTGGATGCTCCTGCTGGAGCAAAACTAGAAGTTCAACGACTAGTGGTCTGCCAACGCCGCTCCTCTGCCTTTGCGCATATTTGGGCACAAGCCGTAGCAGTAGACAATGGGGTCAGCGAACTCTTGAAACAGACCAATTGGTTGGCGATGTCAAATAAGATCCATGATACCCCTTGGGAGCGTACGCCGGTTGAAGCTGCTTGCCAGTATAAGGGCTGCATATTATCACCGGAGCCGCAGCTATCTTCCCGCCGCTGGAGGAGCCATCCCTCGTACAGCCCCGAGGACTGCTCTGTAGCTGCCATCGCTAGCATCCTCCCACATTATGCTTGTTATTATTGCGCAATGCTGAACAGATACCAGGGTTAGGGTTAGGGTTGAGAGCAAAATGTGGCCGAAGATGTGGGCGAGAATATGAATGTTGGCTGCAAACTACAGCTGCACGCCCTGCTTTGCGCCCGTATGGCTATCTTCAGGGGTCTTCGAAACGTTCCCTTGCAACTCAAGCTGGGAGGCGAGTGAAGTGATGTCTACTAACACCTGAGATACATACTCTTACTTTCGGCAGCAAATGGCACGATGTGGACAGGGGTTCTTTTAAGACATATATGCCAACAGATGCCATTGCACTATTATATTTGGCAAAAGACATACCGTGACACAGTCAGTGTTGGTGTCATCTGGCATCCTCCCCTGCTGCCCGTCTGCTTGCTTGAATGTTTGTTATCTCTCGCCTATTGTAGGCGAGCCGGGTTTCAGAATATTAAGCAAACTAATATCTTAGTTCTCTAGAACCTTCCACGGAAGAGGCTTCTAGTCTATATAGATAGATGAAGTGCCCAGAAGCTCTTCCATATTCTTTAGCTCTGCCTATCAATGCACTCACAACTTCAAGTGGTTATGAGTCCACGTGCCTCTGAAGCCACGACGTTGCCCATTCGCTTTGCCACCCACCTGCGGTCTCATGCCCAATGGCACAGCTCATAACGAGATAGGTGAAATGGCATTCATCGGAATACTGAACAGAAAGCCTGTCCTACTATCGACGACTACGCTCAAACCTTGATCAAACCTCCTTTTCAAGACTGCAAGTCTCATCACTCTGTTGCACCAATTTCGAGACAAAGCCATAGACCATCGTCTCGGAGAAGCCACAATCAAGGCCTGGAAAGAGTGGTACCTTATGCTCATTGCGCTCGACGAAGATGCTAGCGCTGGAAAGAGCGATGATGGCGAACGCAAAGATGCCGTTTTTGGATGCTAAAAAGAAATCTCAAGGGGAAATCCGACGCACTTCCCGAGCCCGGCAAGAAATTGCTTGGAGAGAAACTACATGCCTGTAATACACATCTCAGCCAAGCGCTCAGACAACTCGAATGGGCCGGGGTAGAGTCAGATAATCAAGAACATGGAAGAGGCAGTCTCAGAAAGAGGAGGATACAATGCTCTCCATTTTATGTCGCTCAGTGGTGATGCTGAGGGCATCTCAGAGACGGTTCCTGAGCTGGTAGCTGCCGGACCAGACCATCTCCCAGGAGGCCTAGAAGAAAAGCTTGCATCGATGATAGTCTAGAACTTTCAAGAGATTGAGCATCAAGCTAGACAGCACATGAATGAGCGGAGACAAGAGATTAGCGGTCGACGGAGTGCATTGGTTTGACTGAAAGACCGAACTATCTCACCCAAGTCCAAGCAGGCGAGTGACGTGGGCGAAATTGCCGACACCCGAGACTCAACGTTTGGACAACATGCAACGGGCTACTATGGAAGCTTGAACATAAAATCGGGCTCTTTAACTACCTAAGACATGGAACAAGTCGGACAGCATGTCGTTGCTCTCCAGACTACGGAAGAGGTTCGCCTGACTACGGCTCCATCTCGAGCAGCCATGGTGAAGGCCTCTAGCAATGCTCAGAGGCCATTACTACCGCACGGAAGGCAATGGTAGCGACAATGAACCTACCACCTCAGTCCTCTGCGGTGATATTCCCGCAAACTCGACCTGTAATACAGAATTTGACCTCAACAGGCCTCATATCGCTCGTATCTGATATTCGGACTATACGCGGAGGACTTGGGCTCACACTCCCTAGACTTGGTTGCCTCGGGGAAAGCTGGTGGTGACATATAATCAAGTAGCCAGGCCATACATTTACGTTGGGGCCAGGTCTCTCCCATTCCGGGACTGAACTATTTCCATCCGCTGTCTCACCCTTGAGCAGACTACTCACGGGCGGCAAAGGGAGGAGCTTTCATTCTTTCACTCCTCAAGTCATTCGCCATGGTGCGGACATTGATCGACGGCGCTGCTGCAATCGAGCTGGCCCGCGCCCTCGCCCCTTATTATTAACAGGGATGAGGACTTTTAGGAGATGAATATTAAGGAGGATCTTACGGAGCCCGTGTAGCTCAAGCAGGGTTAGTGCAGCGGCCATGAGTCGTCCGATGGACGCTCTGAGGGCGACCAATATAAGGAGGAGACCGCCACCGTCGCTGCCATGCGCTCCGTAGAGAATTTCAGTCTCAGTTCCGACCCGAAGCAATTACTCGCGGTGGCATCGAATTTGGCAAAATGGGAATTAGAGCAAATGACAAGCTCCCAATGTATCCCACTCGCCCTGATGCTAAATTCTTAAGCCGCAGCAAATCCGAGCTCTAGCAATGAAGATCGATAAGGAGACTTCACAATTCTCAACGGGCTTCTGCGGAGTTTTTCGGCTCCAAAACCCCACGTAGATAGCCCTGCCGCCCACCAACAAGTAGACTGGGCGACAGCCGATGGCAAGGAAGTACAAATGTTAGGGGTCAGATAAAAATAATTCTAACATGTGGTGGGATAATCTTATAAAGCAGTAGTCTCAGCCTGTACCACGATGTACGATACCATCGTTGAATAGATGGGGAAGCGATCGGTAGGTTTAATGTGATAGTCTGACTACCCTACATCCAGCTGACCATGTACTAGGACAATGGCATATTATACTACCACCCGATCTATCTAGGCCTCCAGTCATACGAGAGCCACAAGCCGATTGTGCCTAAAGCGTTCCAGCATCAGGCAAAGCTATTAGAAAAATATGATTGCAATATTGCTAGGACGACGATGAACTTTTGCAGGGAATCGACTTAGTTCCCAGAGACACATATCAGCAGGTCAGCAACACCATGCTTTGTTCTTACGTCTGCCCCTACCTAGCTAAAGTTTAATTATAGGCATCTTCGGCCTGATGTAACAGAAACTACATTGAGAAAAAGTCACACCGATTCCTCTCAAGGCTACACCTCTCTTTGCTTCCATCCTGGCTTCGCTCTGTCGACGGCAGAGGCCCGGCCGGTGCGGTGTGGTGGATCGGAGCCGTCGGTGCCGGGCTACGAGTGGGGCCGCACGCACGCTCTTGGCAATGGACCGGCAGTTTGCCGTCGTCTCTCGACAACGAGCAAGCCCTCGTTCCCTACTTTGAACTACCATCGGTACTCATTTTCGCTTTGGGCATATTGTGTCACTTTAATTGAAGGCTGAGATTGAAGGGGCGAAAAGTCCTACACGTTGATACTTGCAAACCCGGGATTAGCCATCGCTATATCGATCTTCAATACAACTGGCAGTCGCATGTTGGTACTCGCCCTGGCCTCCATAACCTCGAGTACAGCTATTGGAAGCAGGTCTAAGCCAGCCACGATGATCAGGATCAAGAGGAGATTGTTTCCCTTGATCATATCGCGTTTGAATACAAAGCAACGCCTTGCCTACGATATCTTCATTTCTCACTAAACCAACGATGAAGACGAGCATAGTATGGCACTCAAGACCTTCTAGGAGATGGTCGGGAGACGACATCATGATACTGATATTTCTACTGCCATCAAACACTCCAACGAGTCCTTGCCGGGGTAAATCCACTCCTCTTCGGCTTAAGATGGATGTCCCTGGTGGCACAGGAAAGTCATTTCTCATTAAAGCCATCTCGTTGAAACACAACCAGCTTGCCGGCAATCGCACAGTTGTAGCTAGAGCTTGGCTGATGATTCCGTCGGCATCGTAGCAGCCATCAGTAGACTGTTCGTGGACATCTAATCTGCTGCAGAGGATGTTCGCGAACTCACTAATGACTACCACGCCATGCTCTTCCTTGAGGCGAGCAATGCCACAACTGCAGTCTCTTTCTCAACTTGCAGATTCATCCTCAACTTGCAGGTTCATCCTCAACTTGCAGGTTCATCCTCAACTTGCAGGTTCATCCTCAACTTGCAAACCAATTACTTTCTTAATGGCTTCGACACTGCTGAGCGTGTCAGTGCCAATGAGACAACTAGCGTCTGGGTACTAGTTGGGAGAGAGGCTATCTGCACGTACAAGCTTACCATGAATTTGCTTCGCTTCCCACTTTGTGTCGCGCTGCGAGCTATCACCTCTTTCAACACCAGTTCTTCAGAACTCGTTATTCAATTCATATATTACGATCAACCCTTGAGGAAACAGCCTTATCGTGGCGTCGGGTGTTAGCAATGCCAGTTATAGCCATTAGGAGGTGAACAGCCACTCCCGACGTATTTTGTAACGAACTCTACCTGAGTGTGTATTCAACATGCAGAGTCGATATGGAATAGCGACACCAGAAGACTTTGCCATTACGTGCTTGCTAAGGGAAAAGGCCGCGATCAGCATACTTTGTCCGACTGTGGTCAACTAATCTTTCAACTCACCAATTTCTCTATGATGACCTGACTGAACTTTTACAGCGCATTCTTGAAATGGTCTTCTGCCTGATTGAGTTATTGCCTAGTTCAGTCCTAGAAGCTTTATCCTTTTGAGCTGTTGCTTCCTCGAACCCACTTTCTGGCCAATACCCAAAAATGGCGAATGATAACAAATCCGAGACTCCCTCCATAGCGGCGCGCAACTGTTCTGTAGTATTTGGTCTTTGGCACGCGAAGCTGGGATTGCGTCTCCCTTTCCCACTTGTACAGGGGTCATCGGCCTTCAGGCCAATATTGCTAAGCTTCGACAGCTAACAGTAAGTAGGCGGGCTACTCCCCTTCGGCCACGGCCAATAGCAAATGGCGCGGCCGGGCCCAAACATCCCTTACAACAAATGCTCCAGAGCATTTGTGGCTGTGGCCGAATGGGAGTAGCCCGCCTACTTACCGTTGGCTGCCGAAGCTTGGCAATAATGGCCTGAAGGTCGATGACTCCTGTATAGTAATATTGGTCCAGATTATGACATGGAAGTGTGCGAGCTCCTGGACAACAGCGACAGACCATCCAACCTGACATCGAACCAGTACACAGATCGCTGTCGAATGTCTTCCTCGGTCACAAACCTGAGACATCCCGCCCGTCCAACAACAAGACTGACAAAGTCAAAGAGAATGCAAGGGGCCAACCAAGCAAGACACCCACTATAACTGAAACCCAGGAAGCAATTCCGGACGAGGATGACATCGAAGTGAAAAAGGTTCCAGTGAATGCGCAGACTCTGGGGGTATTCAGGACTCTCTTTTTTGACCCATCGACGAGAACAACACTAGGTGAAATATCGTAGAACGACTTCACCTGTGCGTTGACCTCAACGGGACTATTCACAACTCACCATCTATACGCGGCGTCGGGTATAGAAGGGTTCATGGCGCCGGTTACTGGCGTTTTCGATGGAAGCTTGATGGAGTACATTACGCCAGGCAATGCCGCGATAACGAGTGAGGCCATCACGTGCGCGATGGGCTACTCTGATACCCAGCAGTCTATTTGTGCCGCCCTATTTTTCCCGGTCATAGTCAAGAAAGAAGATAATACCCGCGAGGAGGCCGTTATGTGTACTATACCGAGCCCGGAGGACACTTTCGCAATGGCGAACAAGCAGTCGATGGAGAGGACCTTTATCTACAGCAAGGATCCCAAAACCAGTGGTTACCAGCTATCGTCAAGAGACTCAGTGGAGTCGGGCTGAGAACCGTTCAGGGTATTATAGTGCCGTCCAGGAGTGTCGGCATCGAGCCAGATACAACCTCTAAGCAGCGTGGAGCTATGATAGTGGTAATGTCTCGTCAAAGCCCGGCAGTGATGAAAGGGATCCTCTGTACCAGCCAAAAGCCAAACGTGTCAAAGTCGGGGAGGGCGGCAACACAATCGATAGAAAGCGGGCCACGGCAAATGAGGCACGACGACGCGATCAACGTTGCATCGCGACTGGCTGCCCTCTATTCGAAGCTTGCCATATCATGCCGTTCTCGGTCAATAATACATCCGCTAATTTGGAAAGTGCGCGCAACATTTTGAGAAATGTTATCAAGCCGAGGATGCCAAATGTGAGCCGCACGGGAAGTAACACGATTATATCGTGTGCCTGTACACAAACGGGCTGCTCGATGCATACAGGGTCATGTTCCGTGCACTGAGATCGCATCGTGAGGCTTCGGCGGTATCGCAAGCCAGGAAGAGTTCCTCGGCACATCCACTGGTGGATCTGTGCAGCGAGGGTCTGCAGCGGGTAGCAAGAGTACACAGTGGTGTGTTTCGTGAATAACCCATAAGTTCCAATGAAACCTCGGGATGTTCGAGCTCGACGATGACCTCTAGTCTCATATTTCTGTACTCTCGGATACAGGATCCCATGATTTTCGGATGCCAGTACACTTTCAGGATGACACTCTAATGGAATTGAATCTGTGAAGAATGGCATTTTAACTATGGGTCTTGAAAGAACTTGAACACAGAGATGAGTCGTTCGGCGTTTTACACTTGGGGAAACTCCTTACTCTCTTGGAGAGCAAACTATCAATGAACGAGATGACAATCAGGTGAAGGCCAATATTTTGCAGCCAAGTAGACGGAAATAGAGGTCAGAAGCAGCAGTCACTCGCTGCTCCTACAGATTGAAAAGCGGCTTGTCCGCATCAACCAGACCCATATCGTCAGGTGGTGGATCCTGAAAATGAAAAAATACCTACCACGCTACCAAGAACGAGATTGTCTGGGTCGTTGGGTTAATCAAGCCTCAGCAGAATGCGCCCTGCCTGCCCACATCAGCGGGGACTTGAGGGAATTGATCCTTTACGAGGCCATCAAGGCTCGGTGGAATATACCGTTCAGTCGATACGTATGGATCGTGCTAAAGGACACATCGGTGCTAATATGGAACCTCCATACAGAGTCGATACAGATTATTGGCTTATTCTGTACACTGATCACGCGTATAGTACTGAAGTATATTGAAGAGCCAGTTGAGCTCGAGTTCTGGGATGCTGCGACAGACCTCCTCTCATCGGCTATGATCGAGATCCAGCAAGACCATGTTGCCCTTTATCACAAACATTCAAAGGTATCTATTTTCCCTGCATGCGGACGGCGCACTTCGATATGCCTCCAGCCGAGTTGATCAAACCCTTTGGTCTAATTCTGTATACTTGCGGCATATCTGGCCCGTCCTCGTTCAAGTTCTTGTTGTGGGCTTGATGGTTTTGGCTGTCGGTTGTCGAGGCACTTTGCCTGAGTGGAGGAGTCTTTTGGGTTTGGCAGGTGTCAATGGCAGAGCATCATCGTCTTGGATGCTGAGTACCATCGTCAAGCATATCAAGACACCAACCTTTATCATCATAATGAATTCGCAACTGCAATTGGCCGATGCGCCCGAGGAGGACAAGATAAATTCCACGATGACCATTGCAGTAAATGCTGCACAGCTCATGGTATTTGGGCCGAGCACTGCGCCAGTGGGCCAAAGTATCCTCACTCGACCCATCAACCCGAGATGGCTACTCCGGCATCCGAAGGGAGCAAACGACGTCGCATTTGGCGATTATTCATATGATGATTTATATGGAGCTATCGTGTCATTCCTATATGTTGTGCACAACCGCAAGGGTAATTCTAACAAGCTGACAGACAGACCGGGCCAGGATACCAAGCTGGGCGATCTCCAGCATGCACCGGCAACAGTCCTCAAAGAGGCAGTGAAAAAACATACGTCTTACCCCCTACCTTTTACTAGCACGAGAATTTACTCACCAAATTTCAACGGATCCTACCAGGAACCGTCGTGGAATAACTGATAGATATTCTTTTGTGGGGTAATTTAAATTTTTAACCAACAGATCAAATGTTTCTTAACAACCTCATCCCGGAGAAGAAACAGTTCAATGCCTTCTTAGTGACCCTATCAGGTTTTTCAACCTGACTTCAACATCCCTTGCCTCCCAGGTCGCGGATAACCACTATTTGATTGACTACCAACCCTTGCGATATACGATCATCCTTCGTGGCGACTGAACACCTTGGGAATTCCTCTCGACACAGCAAAAATGGATCTCCCATCTATAACAAACCTCATCAAAATTGAGAAAATCAGACCCAAACGTGGCCGGGAGGCAGTCATTCAGAGAATCTTTGACGCCTACATAGACCGCCATGTCCGGGAAGAATGGAATGACGCAGATCATTGCGAACTCTATTCATATATCGTCGAGCGCACTTGGCATCACCAGTCTAGTGTTGCTATCACAGATGATGAGGGAAACGGCACCCCAACATCTACTCAACCTTGGCGAGCTCTCCACTGTTGGACTACCACGAGGCCACGCTAGAGTCACTTTCAGCCATACAGACCCATCTTGTACCATTGAATTTGGTAGCAATTCTATGTTCGATCAATACCACCAATCGGGTTCATCCCACCAAGTAGATCTGAACCAGCTTTTTCTTTTGTTTACATTGCCATCAACCTAAACCATCCGTCATATCATTTTATCTCGATCTTTTGGCTTGATCGATTGATCGAATACCTGCGAAACCATGGAACCAAGCTGCAATGATCCTCCAAATGCATCAACTCCTTCGCTTCCATCAATCGTTCCATTATACAATTCATAAGTGCACCCATTTACTCCCTCGTTTCAATATGTGCCCCTACGATCGGTCTTCTCCGAGCGAAGACGACTTTCCGATCGAGTTTGTGCTCAAGGAAACTCCAACGGCTACGCCGACCAAGCGCAAGGCCACAATAAAGTAAACGCTACTACCTCGTCAAGGGGAATGCGATGGAATCAAATCAGGCTCATGATTCGTCTAATCCTCAGATAATTTCCTCCATTGTCCCGAGTTTATATAGTCCCGGCGACTTAAGCTTGAGCTTTTTGGATGAATCCAGGGTGGTCATTTCATTTCTAATGAGTATCATGATCGAAACATTTTGGCCACCGTGCTATATATCTTAGTTCTCCAGGGCTCCCGTCGGCAGATAAGTTCCAAGAGCCATTCTTTCTAACATAAATTTCTGGCACCTGAGAATCAGCTTTGTGACGAATATTAATATTGCCCTATCTTTGACACATTGGCCTTTGGCCTCCACAGCCAACTGAATAGTCAATGACCAGAAAGAGACATGAGATAAGGCTTGTTCAACAGCAGTGAAACCTGGCGTAATGTGTGACCTCATATGCGTCTATTTGTGTTGCTATGCCTTCCGCATACCTCAAAGCCAAAATCGATTATGCCGTCCATTTTGCTATCAGCTACTTGTCTTGAGTGTAACTCTCAACCATAAAGACTCTCAGCAATTAAGTGTTTGGTGGGAGGCTTCAGCTACCCGATCCCATGGACTCAATCATCCTATCTGGAACTCTGGAACCATCTCACTCAAGGACAAATCGATTCAATAAATCCCGTAATAGCAACAATGGGGATTTTCAAGCTGGTTGTTTCGCTGTGGCGGGCGAATTCTGAAGCAATATTGCTAACGGCACTAACTGAACATGGTTGGCAATGCCAAGTTTCTGGGAAGGCATTACTTACACGGACCTCTCGGAAAGGGATCTCGTAGGCAAGTTTCCGGAGGTGGAATAGAAGCTAGATTACCCCATGGAGACGAAAATATAGGGCCGGACAGGCTAGAAAGGCCTCATAGTTCTGACCTCCCCGATGGCCAAGAGATCTCATCTGCCCCCTTTGGATTTGGTGTTCGGAACAAGCTCTCAACGGCCCGTCCAGAACAAAGAGCCGCCTTCCGAATTCTGAAATCGAGTGTTTGACAATACTTCTCTGAATGGCCCTGCCAAAAGAATAAACATCTGCATGGGTATTACCCAGGATCGACCCCGAGAACTTCGAGAAGGCCATGGGCCTTGGAGAAAAAGATCAATGAAACCGGAGTCGATGATCTAGGTCGACCCAAATAAGGAGGCCAAGTTCGGATCCAACAAATGGAAACAGGAACTGAACATGCGCGGTAAGATCAAGCATAACTTTATCGCCTGGGGCCTTCTCCCATAACTTCGTCGCGTAAAATGAGAAATCGTTCTTGATACTAGTCACCGAGCTACCAAAGTGTTCATCCAGAGCTCAGGTGGATATCGAGAGAACCCATACCACGTTTATCACTGCGACTATGGCCAATGGATCATATCTGAAGCCAACTAGCAATGGACATATCACTCCCTGAAGAACTTGAGTGCCCAATGAGCATGGATGATTTGGGCAGGGCAAATAAGATTATTTCTCATAATCTTGTGTGCCTGTTCAATTTAATCACCAGCATCCACCTAAACGCCGAATCGTTTTACGTACCTAAATACTGAGAAGGTTTGAAAAGCCATGCCAATCAACCACATGGACCTGTCCAATTTTGGGAGCTACTATGCCAGTGTAATTTGGGACACCATCACCACCTTCTACACCTCTTTAAACAGTAATCCTTCCAGTGGGTGACAAGAGAAATGAGGCACCTAATGGAAGAGAGGTTATACAGACTACTTTCTAAGATGAAATTCAGTGATAAAATAAAATTCTGGACAATATATAATGTATTATCTCTAAATTATATATTATTAGTACTCAATAGTTTAACAATACCGGTCGCAGACTCGAGAATAAGCAGCTTAATGTTTATCTCAATTTCAATGTCACCTACTTGTCCCTTTAGCACTGATAGCACCATAGACGACGAAATCTATATATTATCCGCAATAGTATCCCCCACCAAGTAGTTCATTTATCCGAGCACGTTTTAGCTCTAGTATGTTTCGGTCATCAGCAATACCAGTAGCCTCAGATCCTTCCAATGACGAGCAAACCGACTATATCTACAGCTATATCCCGACATTACACTACTCTCCTCAAAACTACCCGCACCCGAAAGATCCCATACGAACAGGTTTATTATCCCGCCAGTTTCATCACCGTGGAAGATAATATTGACGTATGGTTATGTATCTGCAAGGTCGTTGACCATGATGCAGCCCAATACATACCGAAATACACTACCTTCGCGATCGTCGATCTCCTCTAATTGTCCACTGATAGGTTGTCGAGGCCTATGGACAGTACTTGTCGGTCACAGAAAAGTCTGATAAGGGGAAAGAAAAGGCAAAGGGGCAACGGAGTGAGGCGCGCCATTGCGGTACCATACATAAGGCTTTACAGCAATGAAGAATTCGCGATGGACCTGACTGGCGCTCGGTACGGCTGGGCGGAAAAGCTTTATACTTGGACAGACTATGAGTGATACAGAGGCGTGGTGTGCCGATGGCCCTAAGGGAGAATAAAAAAAAACCCGTCTCCTCCCTTGGTGGGCAGCGCGAAGCCATTGATCCACGAGTAGCCGTCACCTGAGTGACGTGGCTCATTCCTCTATGATGTTCGCTATGTGAAGAAAGTGCTTTCCTAACCCAAATCTTAACAAGGCACTCTTCACCTCAGTAGATTTAGTTTTGATGCTCAGGCAAAACAAGACAAACCTAGTCTGGGCAGGTGATGCCCAGTTCATACCACCAAGATTTAAACCCACCTCACCCCTCCTCCATCGCTCAGCTGAATCTCAATCCTTTCATAGACCAGTTTTTAACAACTAAGGTTAATCTTTTCTGAAATTCACAACCATCTTTCGTATACACTTTCCCAGCTACCAGACTAACAGTTTCGATCAAGCACCATGTCCCCGAACGGTCTCTGCACTGCGGAAAGCCTTAACGATAATATCGTCCAACTCCGAGAATCGATGAATAGGCGATTCGATGCTCTCGGCTCATAAATCAGGGAAGAAATCAAAGGTCTCTCGAAGCGGTTCGACAATCTCTCGAGCAGGGTTAACATAGCCTCGGGCCAAATGACCGACCTACAACGTCAGTACAACCAGATGCCACCGGCTATCAACAACCATACAAACGCCTTAGCGAACTGCGGGGATATTGTCTCAGGTCGTGCGCAACTGCTAAAAACAAACACTTCTTAATCGATTCTATGATCGATCGCCTCACCAAGTTGAGCGATAATGACGCAGGCATGGCAAAGACCTATTGATGCTTCCAGAGCTCCATGAGCCAGTTTTGCTTCCAACTGAAGTCTAAACTCGACCACGAAGTCCAGTAGGTTTCCTACCTACCTGCAGGTAGTTCTGAGTATACTTACCAATTTTATCAAAAGGTCTTATAATGACCGTGTCAGAAAGCAAAACAGGTCTGCTTTTCTACAGCACCCAAATGCTCCCCTGAGGGAGTATGAAAAGTGGACGACTATTCCGCCAATACATGCAATGGATCCTACGGGGGAATTCACAGAACATCTTAGACGTAGACGACATCTACGTCACAGCCGATGATGAACGCCTACTCGTTGTATGAAGTGAAACCGCAAGGGTAGTCCGTGTCACTTCGAAAGTGCCTCTGTAGTTTTTGACGCGGGAGGGGAGGTTGAGGCTCAGGGACAGGCGGTGGGAATGACTCTGAAGGATGATAAGTGACGAAAGAAAGTTGGTGAAAGCTTGAGTGATGTTTGTTTTGGTCAATCGGGATCTTTTCCCTTGTACGCAGTAACCTAGCAAGTGGGTGGAATAAAATGTGGCATACCAAAGCTCTTTCCGCGCAAGGCAGGAACCTCGTTCTTAAACTAAATACAATAATAAGAGACTAATTAGAGAGTAATAAACTACTCTATAATATTTGTCTTAATATTGTATTCAGTACTAGATTATTTGTTGTGATATTATGTCAAAATTTAATACTGACGAGTGCAAACTCAAAACGGACGGTCGTGAGTATCACGCCACACACACAACAGCCATTCATGAAAGCTCAAGAACAACCACAATCCCCAGATATTGATAGACCGCTTGTAGAATTCCCCGAGCCAGAGCACTGAACCTTTGGCTGCTTTTCGGCGTGGCGGCCTCCCATTTTTAGCCGGTGTGAACGGCAGCGGCTAGGCGTGTGTTCAGTGCTGGCGCAGAGAATCAGTTTTGAGCGCGACGACAAAACAGGGCAGTTTAATGGCAAGGTGAAAGTTGGAATTTGCCAGCGCACATCGATACAGTCTTTATTCCATTGACAGAGTAAAATTGGAATTAATAGATTTGGATGTGCTAGTGTATTTATGTTCAACATGAGGAATAATCACACGATTGAGCTACATGTTATGTAGTCTGCATGAGTATATAAGTCGCAGTGGTGTCGTTGAATTTAATAGCTGCATTCATCAAGTATGAGCCCGGTGCCGTAGTAGGTTAGATAGGGACTGTCTCGCGGAGGTCGTCTCGAGTCGCCTCAAAGCCGCTGTGGGCCGGTAACCTCATGATTTGGCGGACTGTTAGCACTCGAGAGTTCCGGGCCCCGCAAGAATGGGCGCTGCCAGAACGAGAGGACCCAATATTGAGGGCTATGCCAGAGCCAGAGAGTGCCAGAGCCGCTGAGCCAGACCCCGGAGTAGAGTGTATTAGGGTGCCTGCTCCTTGAAGCTCAGAGAGTAAAGAAGCCGGAGAGCCGCGGACTAGAGTGTCTGAAGTAAAGCTCCTGAGAGAAGAACCACAGTTGGACCTAAAAGCGTGGGTGCCGGCAGAGGGACGCCTCTGTGACTCTCATTTTTCTTATTTTCTTCCTTCCTCACAAGTCATAGTAATTGCAACAACAATGCTCACCACATTAAGACGTCGAATTCGTCGTGCGCTGTCCTCTCCTCGATCCTCGCTGGCAAAACCCCTTTCCCCGCCTGTGAGATTTCGCCCAGTGCTCACAGCGATAGAGCTGCAAGTTTGGGTGGATGAACCAAACCTCTCACAAGGCGAGACCGCCGCCCGTCGGGACTTGGCGGCAAAGATGATGGCCGGGCCTCCATCAGAGCATCTCGTCTACCCGGGCGACTTGACCCTCAGTGAGTCGCCACTCAGCAGCCTGCCACCCGGCTTCGAGGTGCAAGGCGGGCTGTATATTTACGACTGTTTCAACCTGCATCTGCCCGTCGGCCTGGTGGTCGGCGGCGACTTTACGCTCTCGTCAACCTGGTATCGCACCCACTTCATAGAACTGCAAAGCGACACATGTGTGGGTGGCGACCTGAGCGTGTCGTCCACGGACTTGCCGGGACTGCCTGAGCGCCTGGAGGTCGGCGGCATCGCCATCTTCTATGGGTGCAGGTCCCTGAGCTTGAAGAACATCCCGTCTAGTGTCACGATTAGAGAGGGTGTCATCAAGGTCACCAACTGTGAAAAAGTGTGGGAGGAGTTTGATTTGAATCGTGACTTGGGAGAGCACTATGGCACGATCGATTTTCCTCTCCGAGGTGCATTGACGCTTCGTGTGTGCCTGGGCTGCCTGGCTTGATCGCGATCCGTTCTTCTCTCGACCAGTCTCATTAATGGAGCTTTTTGATGAAAACTTAGCTTAGTTTACTCACGAAGGCTTACGACATCGATGGAAGAACAAGATTTTCATCATACTATCGACCGACAACGAAGAACAGGGCCATGGGAAGCGATGAAACGTCTGGTCGTTGATCGTCACCTGTCAAGATACAATCAATGCCGCCCTCGGAGAATGTCTGCAGCATACTCTGCCACAGCATACACAGTAGCCTGTGTATGCGCAGCCGGCAGCAACGGCATCACACTTGCGTCCACCACCGACAAACCCTCCACCCCATACACTTGAAGTCTTGTGTCCACCACACCTCCCAGCTCCCGTGGCATCATGGCAGCTGTCCCCACGGGGTGATCAAGGCTGGGATTCATCAGCGACTCTCTCATCACTCTCTCCACGTCTGCATCTGATTGAATATCCGGCCCCGGAGAGGCCTCCACTGGCTCAAGTGAAGCAACACTTTCGGCGCTCATGAACGCCCTTGCTTTTGCCAGTGCCCGTTTCGCCAAGAGAAGATCCACGGGGTTCGAGATCGTGTTGAAATCAATGAGCGGTGGGACGGACGGGTCTGCGTTTGTGCTGTTGATGAAGATGGTGCCACGAGAGAGCGGTTTCTGAAGAGCGACGATGACGTTGACACCTCCACCAAACGCATACTCAAACACGCCCGCCTCAGGGTTGCGGAACTGCGCCTGAAGCGTCATTCGCTGTCGTAGAAATCCTCGAAGAAGTGACGGATTGTCTGAATAGAGTGAAGGCAAAAAGGACAGCGGATCCTGATCGTCCAAGCTGTCGGCGATGGCATCGAACTCCGGATCTAGATCCTTGACAGATTGGAACACAACGCGGTTGCCCCATGCGTGAGAGAAGGGACCAGTCTTGTTTGAAGTGTATTCATCCCAAGCTGCGTCGTAGAAGTCGGGATTATTCATGGAATCCGGATTGATAGCCGTATTATTCTTGACTTTCAGCGTCATTAGCACAATATAAACTATCAAAAAACGGCATTTTCTTACATTCGTACACCACGAAAAAGCTAGGATGGTCCTGGAAGTTGGCTCCAACCCCGGGCGCGTCCACGACGACGTCTATGTTCAGCATGTCGAGCAGCTTTTTTGGCCCGACGCCGCTAAGTTGCAGAATCCGAGGGGTGTTCACCGTCCCAGCGGCCAAAATGACTTGACTTGACGATATGAACTTGGACTTCTTGGCATCGTCCCGATTGACGATCTCAACTCCTGTGACCACGCCATCATGAAATCGAATCCTGGATCCGTAATGTCGAACCAGCAGGTCAAGATTCTTCCGATGACTGACAGGGTTGTAGTACGCCGTCTCAGCACATGACCGCACTCCCTCTTTACCGTCAGCACTCATCGGTAGCCAAGCGCTGCCGACGTTCCTACCGTCGGCGCCATCTGTAAGTACTGGTGTGCCAAGGTCATCCGTCCAAGCTTTGGCCATCAACTCTGAGGCAGCAATGTCAACCACTCATTTCTTGGAAACCGAACAGCCTTCGCGGTTCTTACCTGCAGCATGCCACTGCCAGGGCGGGTATCCCGCGTGGATGGGCCCTTCGCCATACGATTCAGCGCTCCACTCGTAGCCGTATCGATCAACGTACTCTTGGGCGGGAGGTCCAAATTGAGACGACTTGCGGAAGTAGCGGGTAAGTGTCTTCCATCCCCAGTTGGGATTTCCGAGCTCCTCCCAAGAATCATAGTCAATATAAGAGCCTCGATCCCAGGCCATGCCATTGACAGTGGAGCTGCCGCCAACCACATTACCGATACGCAAGTTCGTGATACGATTGTTCAAATGGGCCTGTGGTACTGAGGTCATCTTGTAGAGCCGCGGCGTTTGGTCTTGAGTTGTGAAATACGGCACTGTCACGTTGATAGTATTGGCAAAATCGCCATACTCGACCACCAAGACGGTTTCTACTCCAGTTTTCAGCGAAATAATTCTTGAGTGAGATGTGTTACCGATGGAGACTTATATCTTGGGATAAGACTTACTGTTGGAGTCCTCAGTTAGTCTGTTGGCGACCACAAGACCACTTGTACCGCCACCTACGATAATATAATCATAGCCAGATTTGACCGACTCCAGGTTACGCTTTGGCTCATTCCCTGAAGGGGACGTGTCAAGACAAGATGCCTGGTTTAGCAAAAACAAGAACGCAAAGCCTTTAAGGTTCCACTGCGGCATCATTATCGATGGCTAGAGCGAGAATGAAGTCAGCAGTGAGTCTGTATACTTGCACGGGGTAGTTAGATTTTCACCAGCTTTTTAACTGTTGTCGGTCTTTTCTCTTATTCGTCTTGTGACCTGAAGGGCTGTTCTCAACGAAAGAACTAAACACGGTCAGCAGATCATACGCCACATGTTCAGCATATGTGTTAATCCGACCGGTCAACTCGGTCAGTACAACAGGATAATGATAATCGAGATGTATGTACCCCTCATTTCTCTCTGTCCAATCTCATTTGCTGACACGAGCAGCTTTGCATTTCTGGCTAGGCACAGCCACATTTTCGTGCCTAGGAGAGGGGAAGGTTGCATGCTGAAACATCCCACCACCGATTCATACTAGAATATGCAGATATATACCGGCACACCGGAATGAACAACCAATAGTAAGGATTCTTACCTAGTACTTTTGATCTTTTAAAATCGAATTATCGTAAGCATGTGACATATTGGAACATCATCAATGGTGCAGCGTTTGATGAGGTTAAGCTTGGTACTTTTTATGTTCGGAGCTGAGAATTCTTATACCAGTTTTCCCATCGCCTCTCAAGATGCTATAGGCGTGTGTATCATGGCCAAACCTGCTCGAAGGTGATTCCATTGATTCAGATATCATCTGTCGCAGATGCGCTGCCAAAAGTGCCGTGGTACTTGACAGGTACCCCATATCACCATGCATTCTCGCCATTTAAACATGGCTCACGGAGCACCTCCAGCGTTAAACGTCAACATAATATCAACCCAATTACTGCAGAATAATAATGATCAACTTTTATATCATGGCGTTCAGTATGATTAAGAAGAAAATGAGGTTCCTGACTTGACCTAAACTTTGGTGTGTCATATTTTGTATCAGTCGCTTGCGTATCTCAGCGTTTCCGCCGGCGTAAAGCCCATCACAGACACGACTCAATGTAAGCAATTCGACCCCGCAGGTTAGGACAACCCTCGCGGTCCAACGTCAGCAGCACAGCACGTTTTATACTTTAGAAGGGCTGGTGATCATTTGGTCATAAGCGAAGCTGAACATTGAGCCCGGGCATTATCCGGAGCCTTTAGCAGCGCATAAAACAAATCTGCCGTTCGACAGCGAAGCCATCTTGACTCTTACGCAACATCAGCACGCGCATATCTTGTGGTACCAACAGAACGTTCACCTTTCGCTTCCAAGAATTGATCTCCCAATCAGCATCCAACCATGTCCATATTACATCTCGTCCCAGTGGTCACCTCCACCACTACCTTGGTGCTCGCCAATGACCAACGCCTCTTCCTCCGAATCTTCCTGCGGAAAGAAGTCGAGCCCAACGCCAAACACGTCCTGACCCCGTACTGGAAGATCATGATCGACACAGTTGTGCCCTTCGTCGTCGCCCCGCTCCTCGGCACGATCGGCTCCATCGGGGCTATTCTCTACACCACGCCTGAGGAGGTCCTGCGCACCAACGGCGCCTACTCATGGTATGTGGCCGGCATGGCCTTTGCGGCGGGCCATTTCCTCTTTGTGCCGTCCATCCTGCCCAAGATCAGGGGACTGCAGAACGGCGAGCCGACATCCACCCTCCGAGAGTGGATGCACATCCACATGATCCGGTCTCTCACGGTTGATCTTTTCGCCTTGGTGGCTTGTATGGTAGCGACTACTAGAACTTTGTCTACTTGAACCCTTTTTACATGGAGTCATATTTGCTCACAAGTTTTGGGTTCACTTGTCATTGCATGGTTGTGGTAAATGGGCATGGTTATCAAAGCCCGAATCAAAGTAAATTTCGAAACTATCCAAAAAGGAGAAGGATAATAAGAACAAGAATAAAAAAGAAACAGGAGACGAAAATGAAAGAAAGGTTTCTACATGCAAATTGACCATCGAATGCTAAACCAATCCGTTGAGATGAATGCGCTAGCGGGTATATATTTTTGAGAAAATGAAGATAAACAGGGTTCCGCAGAAGAAAAGTCTTTACTCCCATGAGACCTCGTCGTCAAAGTCGCGAACTTCAACATCGTAATCCTCACCAAGGTCTCGCTTGCCGCCAAGCTTCTTCTTAATGCTATTCTTCACCTTGGAAGCCCCAATGGATGCCTTGACAGCCTTGTTCGTGGCGCCACTAACAGCTGCCTTGATGTGCTTCTTGCCAGGAAGCTTCGAGCCCACCTTGATAGCAGCCAATCCAGCCTTGCGGATAGGCTTGGGGAGCTTGCCGGTGGCGCGCTTATCGTAGTAAATCTCAGAGTCCCAGTTCTCAGCGACAGAGCGAGCGATGAGGTCGGGAATCGCGTCACGGCTCACGAGGATCTCGATATCGCCGGACTCAAGGTCCTTCTTCCCAAGCTTCTTCTTGATCTTGTTCTTCGCACTCGAGGCAGAGATAGATGCCTTGACAGCCTTCTTCTCGGCGCCGACAGCGGCAGCCTTGAGGTGCTTCTTGCCAGGGAGCTTTGAGGCAACCTTGATGGCGGCTTGTCCGGCCTTACGGATGGGCTTGGGAAGCTTGCCCGTGGCACGAGTGTCGTAGTAGACCTCGAGGTCTTCGATATCACGCTTCCCAAGCTTCTTCTTGATCTTGTTCTTCGCACTCGAGGCAGAGATGGATGCCTTGACAGCCTTCTTCTCGGCGCCGACAGCGGCAGCCTTGAGGTGCTTCTTGCCAGGAAGCTTCGAGGCAACCTTGATAGCGGCTTGTCCAGCCTTGCGGATAGGCTTAGGAAGCTTGCCGGTGGCACGCTTGTCGTGGTAAACCTCCTCGGACAAGGTGTCAGAGATGCCTCGCACGACGGCCAAGGAATCAGCCTCAGTAGCAGAGTTGGCGATGACGCTCTGAACCATCCCCAGGATGGACAGGCTGGCAAGAATGGCAGGAGTAATGGCAACCATTTTGAATAGATGAAGGGAAATTTTGATAAAGGAAAAAAAAAAAAAAAATAGAAGGAAAGAGATCGCTTCGATGATTGGCTTTTCTGATGCTTGCTGATTGAATTGTCTTGATGAATAGCTATAAACTTGAAGGCAAATCATCATGACTTATATAGCTATCAGTGATTCCTCTTTACACTCCAAACAGATCTATAATTAAAACAAAGTATTCTTATTGCGTCCCAGTTGGGTTACCGATTCTACATTGGCTAACATGATGCAATCATTTTTACTACATTCTCTCGACCTGCAGATAGGTCTAAAATTACATCAAACGGTTCGCGCATCTATTCCCTTTACAAAGTTTCGATGATGCCCGATCCCAGCTCTTGATTGGACAAAGTCCGGAGAGCTGTGCAGTGAATTTGGCTGACCAGAGGCACAGCACCTCAGAAACCTTGCAAAAAATACCGGGGTAGGGCTGATGGTGTGCCCAAAGATCCAAAGTCTTTCTTACTACATACGTAACGTGCAGCCATTCTGCCAGTTTAAGCGAAGGCTCGCGTGCGCAGCATACCACCTCAGGATGGCTTGGTTGGTTTCGTCCGCTCCCGTGGATGTGACCTCGGGAAGGACTTCTTCTTTTGTTCACCATCCTGCTGTTTATTGGTGAAAATCCGATGAAGTTTATTTCTAGTGACATGACAACAGAATGCAGGTACAATCCGCAGTTCCAGGTCTTGAGTTACATCCCAAATCGCGATCATAGCAGCAGAGTTTCAAGCGTGCCAATTTCGCTTCATGGTACGGTCTTCCGCTTACTCCGCATTTGAAAGCAATCTTACTCACTGAGACCAGCTGATGTTGGGTCTCCTGGCTGGTCGCGAGAATCCATTTAGTCTCAGAACATGGTAAGGATGTACCATATTAGGCGAATGATTTGCAAAGTTTGTAAAGTCCTGGCGGCCTCTCAGATCCAATGACCAATAATATTACACAGATGTGTCTCCTCACCTTCGGTATAGCTACTTGTATCATCAACATTTTATTTAGTTAGCAATATGCATCAATAATATCTAATAATGAACAGAGAAAAAGTCTGGAGGAGTACAATTGTAATAAAATATTCATACCGCTTTTAGGCAACGGTGGCTCCAGAAGAGAGCGGCATAATTGAAAGTTGTTTGCTTACTTCCCTCAATCCTCTGCTGTCTCTGATTCAACACGACAGGGGGATGCGGTGATGGAAGGCATGCATATTCCGTAGGATTAACCTGCAGCCGTCGCGGATTGCTACCGCAACTGTAAATATTACATATTACTGATCCGGAGGCCTTAAATCTTACTTGATCGGGAACTTTGGAGCACGTGAATTCCGTGGCGGAAAACTGGGCGAGGTTCTTTGGACGACAAACCCGGTCTCCCGGATTCGAGCCCTGTACCAAACGCGGGGATTATTCCTGTTACCACGCTCGATGGCGGATGATAGGTGGTTGCATAAGAACCTTACTCGTATTTTTAAAATAAGGAGCATGCCCTAAGTCAGAAAGACAGTCATTGGAAGAAATGCGATGTCGCAAGCGCCTCCTCTGACGCTATATCCCAGAGCCCTCACCGGTGTCGTCAGAAAGATAGTCAATTATTTCATGCCTTAACAACTTTGGGACGGTATGCGGCCTGATAGGCACTGAATATATGAGGCCTACACTTCATGGGGTGTCGAGCTTAAGATCTTCTAAGGGAATTATGCATCAAACAGCCCCAAAAGAACAGACTGATAGACATGGCATTTCCGATATAAGCATAAACTGTCTCCCTGTGTCCCCTGCAGCTATTAAGGCACTGGAGGCCTCCCTTCCTGTTAGTCAAGGTCTGATAACTTGAATGTCAGACGCTTCGTCACTCATTCAAGACGGAGCCCTACTTGACTGCCGCAGAAAGTAGTATATTTAGTCATATTTGTGCCTTTTGAGATCAAACCCTATCTCTCTAACCCGATCTAGAGGGTTGTTGGGGCCAATATCTGCGGCTAATCACTTCTGCGCTGGTTGATTCTCCTCAACCCATGCTTCCTCGTGCTCAACCTGCTTCGTACCCGACTTCTCAGCATTGAGATCACCCTCCAGCTGCGTGATGTGGGCGCCAAGTCCGGTGCAGACGTGGTGCTTGAACTGGCGGGTCTTGACGTCGGCCTGAAACATCTCGTCGAGCTCCTCCAGCGAGCGGTTCTTGGTCTCGGGGATCATGAACCAGACCCAGATGATGGCCACGACGGAGAAGCCGCCATAGATAAAGGTCACGGCGCCGCCGAGGCTCCTCTGCACGTAAGGGTTGACAAAGTTGATGGGCACGGACGTGACGAAGCTGCCCATGGAGGCGAGGAACAGCGTGCGCTCGCGCAGCTGGCCGGTGCCCACCTCGGCCGCGACGACCCAGCATCCGGGACCCCAGCTGAAGCCGTAGATGCAGTACCAGAGGATCAACATGGCAGCAGAAGCGTTGGCGACTGTCGAGGTGTAGTTGGGCGGCGTACCCGTTGCCGTCGCGATGCCCGTGCCAAGCATCGTCCCGGCCATGCCAATAGATCCCCACGACAGCGAGCGGCGTCGTCCGATCTTGTCAAACGTGACAAAGGTGATGATATGCACAGCGAAGCTGCAGCCGGTGACGATGACGTTTGTGCGAAGGGCGTCCGGAAAGCCGAGCTGCTGCATGAAGGTGACGATGAAGTTCTGGATGAACGATACGCCCTGGGCTTGCTGCAGGATCTGCACGCTCATTGCGATGATGGTACGACGGAGGTTGGTTCCACGGAAGCAGTCGGCAATGGTGGAGGCGGTGTGAAGCTCTCGCTGCTCCTCGACTTGCGCCTTGAGAAGCTGGATTTCCTGCGGGACGCGCTCGGGGTGGTTGGATAACAGGCGGAGGACCTTTTCTGCCTCGTCGAAGCGGCCCTTGTAGACAAGGTAGCGGGGGGACTCGGGAAGGAAAGCATAGAAGGTAAGATAACCGACCGGAACAAAGAGTTGGCAGATGATGACGATCCTAGACAGTCAGTAATGTTCTTGTTTGACGAGATGTCACAAACGGCACTTACAGGTACTGCCACTTATCGGTCCTGTTTTTTGACAGGTAGACCACGACGGAAGCCATGAAGACGCCGAAAGAGTTGAAAAAGCTGTACAGGGCGAGGAAGGCGCCTAGAAGAGTCAGCATGTCTTTGAAGAATCGTCATGAACGGTTTGATTACCTCGAATTCGGCCAGGCGAGGTTTCGCTAAGGTACATCGGGACACAGTTGGAGGCCAGACCGATTCCAGAGTAGACAATGATCCGACCAACGACAAGCTGCCAGTATGATGTAACAGCGGACGCCTCCAGAGTGACGCCAGTCATCATCAGCGCAGACATGACCAGAAACGACTTCTTGCGTCCGAGCTTGGATGTGACGATCGGCGCAATGATGCAGCCGAGAATGATTCCCGCTGAGCCAGTTCCCGTGCCGACTGACGTCTTTTCCGACGGCAGAGCATACCGTCCAAGCTTCTCATCGTATGAACCGTACTTGCGCTGGAACTCGGACAGGCCGAGGGCGCCAGCCCACCAGCCATTGTCGAAGCCGAAGCCCATGGCGCCGAGGGAAGAAACAATGCCGATAAGCGCCAGGCGCCAGTTGAGGTCCTGGTACAGAGGATCATTCTTGATTCTTTCGAGCATATTCGCGGTCGTAAATGGATACAGTAAGATATGGTTGTGAACTAATCAGTTGTTACAAACTCTGAGCAACACAGCCCTTTTAAAACAGGTGGCTACCCATGGAACGACAACTATCACAGTACCCCAAGCGGATATCCTACTCCTTCCGGGGTACTGGAAAACCTGGAGAGGCTTTCCAAATAGGAAAGCTCTCGCACTGGCAGGATTCATCCAGTGTGGGGAGTATGGGGAACCAACCGCTATTCAATTTAACCGGTGCTTCAACTTTCCCTTCTCGGCAGCGTTCCAGGATGGTATCCTATTGGCAGCCAATGGACCAGACTGAAAGGCGCCGTATAAGACGAAGCAAATGCAATGATCCATGCATGGTCAAGCCATAAACAGACCTAAGCCCGGGTCGACAACAATGCCATCCTACATCCAAGTCATCATACAATCCGCCATCCTCAAAGCGACCGCCAATCTGACCGCACAAGTTGCCGCGAGATGGAAGAGCCAACAGGCACCGAATTTGCCCGTCGACTGGCAGCGCGTGGCAGAATTTGCCGTGTTTGGCCTCATCCAGGCCCATCTCAACTGGTATTGGCAGCAAGGTCTCGAAAACATGCTGCCGACACGCACACGAACACCTCGGAAGGACGATAAAAACGACAATAGTGACGATTTTGTGTGGATGAATGTGATCGGAAAACTCATCCTAGATCAAACGCTAGGGCTTTTCATCATGAACAGCGTGTTCCTCGTGTGTACCAGCGCTGTGCGTGTTCAAAGTCTCGCTGAGGTCTTTCAGATCGTGCGGGAAAGGATCTGGACTATCATTCTTGCTGCCTGGAAGGTTTGGCCGTGGGTGTCTATCTGCAACTTTATTTGGGTGCCAGTCGAGTCACGAGTTCTTGTCGCGTCGATGATTGGTTTTGGCTGGAACATCTTCTTGGCATTATTTTCCATGGGTCGAGTATGAACTTCAATGTACAACGTCCAAGCCACTACAATGCAATGCAATTCGATGCGTTTGTTAGAACAACCTATGAATAAACCTTATGATTATAGCTCATCGTGACTCCTAGCCTCAGATCCAGGCCCAAGAATCGTGAAAATTACTCGCCGATAAGACACAAGCTGGCCATTGGACACCTCCAGAATCAGATGAAGGTGTTTGTCCGCCTCTGGGTGTGCATTTCTCCCTTGCCTCCGGATGACCTCGATGGGCGGAATTGTTACATTGATCTTAGCCGCGTCCGAGGACTCGAGCTCTAGCAGCGCTACATCTCGCTTGGGGTTGTTATTGTTCGAGGACGGCTCGAGATACTGCCACCAGCTGTAATTGAGGTCTCTGCCGCTTTTATCGCAGGAAGAGCTCGCGTCCAGCTCGATCCTGTCGCCTCCCCTTGCTACAATCTTGATTATATTCCGACTGTTGTCTCCGTTGATAGCAGCTACCGGAGCATGGGTGGCTGCAGAGAAATCTGACTCGACAGACCATCGCATGCGAGCCGCGAAGTCCTTCTGGAAGGCCTCGCGCCATCGCCAAACCGTTACATGCGACCCCATGAGCGTATGGCCGTCGCGAATGATGGTGTCGACGCTATCAGCGAAGTGTCCCTCCCCATAAGCGACCGGACCGTATCGACCCCCCCAAGATCCCCATTCTGGGTGTTCAGGGTCAGACAAGCCGTTGGGAATTACGTAGAGCAAGGAGGGCGTATCTCCTTCAATGATGAAGTCCGCTTCGGGATACTTTGCCCCGAGAGAACCCTGGCTCTGGATGTTCTCTGCGATCCACGACTTGGAGATGACGTCTTTGTTCGCTGCCGACGGGAAATGGTAATAGTCGTCTCCTGAGATGCCGCCCCAGGCCGCAACAGCGTACCGGTTGAAGTGGTGGACGCTGGCAATGTACAAGAGCTCTGGCCAGTTGCGTCGAATCCACGTTCCCGTGTTATCCTGGTCTGAAATGGCGTACGCTCTTACTTTCGACACAAAGATGTCCGTTTCGGCCTGTGATCTCGTCGCATTCACATGCCATAGAGCCTGGGCAAGAACAGAGGCACCGCCCCAAATCAACACCCACAGTGGTTCCTCGGACGCATCGACAGCTCGAACAAGCATTCGAGAGCCATCGCTGTCCTTTCCCTCGCCAACGCCTTCCATACCGTAGACTGGTAGACCAGAAGCGATCAAGCGCTTCAGCTCAGTAGCCTCAGGCCACCCGTCGGCATGTTTCCGAAGATTGTGGATAACGTCGCCGTAGGCATCGACAATGTCATGCATCTGGTCTGGCCGCGTCGAGTCGTTAAGCCAGACACTCGTCGTGGCTATGATACCTCGCAGACGAAACTCATTGGCATACACCAATAGCCGGACAAACGACTGGGCGTCATCTGGCTCGTTGGCAATGTCGCTAAGAAGGAAGACACGGGGTTTGGCTGACGGGGCGAGTTCGCACTTGTCAGACGAGGATGCAGATGCCGTCTGAGCCACGAGGACCAAGCCCAGGGCAACAGAGCGTAAGTAAGGTAATAACTTCATCACTCAAATGTCAGACTATAGATACTCCGGGAGGAAGTGTGTGATGGCCATGGCTGCAATCGGCGGACAACTCCGAGTTTTATGGGAACAGCCGGAGCGGAGTAGCTTAAAGGAGACGTGCCAAAGGGTGGCTAGACTTGCCGTATGAGGAAGTTTACACAATAATCTGGCCGAGGGAAACCCTCTTTATCTGTTCATCCAGGGAATCAGACACTTTTGACTCGCACGCAATGCAAAATAGCTGCAATGAAGTTTGGAAATGCAGCGAAATCTCCGATGAGAGAATTGAAGATCTGATTTATGGCACGGTGTCTTCGCCGATTATAATGACATACGGATGCAATGAGGCCATACACAAATCGAAATTGGCATTCTACTCGATAGTGTGAGAATCTTCTAGCTTGGCGTAAAGATATCGTGACTTTAAAATAAACTTGACTGACATGGCAATACTCAGCTGAGGGACGGTCAGTGACATGCATTGTGCGCTTTGAGGTATTCGTGGTTTACCAGGAGAAACTGAGGCGAGCTGCAAAGCTTGCTAAGCTTACTGAGATTCGCCGGTAAGAGTTAGCTGACTTGACGGATAGAGGAAAACCATACTTGAGCTTTATTATGTAGACAGCAGACTTTCGGCCCACAGAACAAAGCAAGGAAAATCCCCTTGAACATGACTTTCGGATCCAAGGTTTAAAGATCCTTCCTCCATATTGCTACACTCTTAACTAAGATGAACAGGCTCCCACTACGCCACCTCTCGTGCCTCAACTCATTCCTCACCTATTGACCTCGCCATGCCATCTGTTATCTCATCCTTTACGTCGCCCTCCGCAGCCATGGCCTGGGAAGGAAATGGCCAATGCCCGGCGGAGAGGCTTTCCGTCTTCCATCTATTTCCATAATGTACCTTCCGTTACTCTCACGTAATGTCAAAAAGATCTACTGCCTCGAAGATACGTGTGCCTTGGATGGGACACTCGATGCATCATGGACATTCTCCTTTTTGCCGCTGACAGCCCTCGCGACCAGTGCGCTTCGTAGATAATGTCTGATCATGAGCCACGCTCTTTTTTTAATATCGCGAGGTTGCATGGATGTCTGGTCATGTCTTTCCTGAGATTGAGAGAAGGGAATAAATATTAAACCTGGGCGCCGTTGTCCACAATTCATTGCCACCCAAATTTCTGACCACCACGACGGAGCAAGAAAGCAGCTGCACACGATTTCTTAAGGGGTAGTTATAAGCCTTGACAACTTTGGCAAGATTTGTTACTCAAGACAGCAAGTATCAAGCATCGCGTGTTGAGAAAGGGCTGAATACGTTAAGCTAGTGATACGTCTTTAGTGGGGAACTAGAACAGACGGGGATGGATACGCTCATTACACTTTGATCTGCAGCTGCACAAAGTGTTAATGGTCAAATTTTTCAACAAAGAGTCCACAACGGTCGCGACGACAGTCTGGCATATCCTGGACAGCCAGGCTCAAGTCCAGGATCAGCTTCAACCTTGTTAGCGCTATCAATTCACTTGAACCCCCGAGTCCCAGAAATGGCAAGTCTAAGCACTTCCCCCCACGCCTAACCCACCGATCGCCATTACTTAGCTTCGTCTCCCCGCGTTACGTCTTTTAGCAGCAGTAAATCGATCCCTTAGGCTGTGATGAACGTGAGACACACGGCGAAGAATTATTGAAGATGAACCAAATGCCCAGTACACCTCCCTAAGCTGCAGTATTTAGCATACCATTTCTTCTGAATTGCCTCAACTCACCCTTTCGCGCCCTAGCCTTCGCACCTCATCTTAAGAAGTACATCCATCTATATTCTACCCAGCGCTTTCTATCTTAGCCTACAAGGAGAATATCAACATCAGTGAAGAGATTGTCGCCATCAATATTAATACTATAGCTGCCACTGTCTTTTAGACTATCGCTGCCCCCCCTACCTTACCTAAGTCGTCAAAGTGAAGATTAGCAATAATTCTGCCTAGGGGGCAGATTAGTAGTAGCAACTCATCATCCTAGTATTACCAACAGCATAATGCAGTCATACATACTATGTACATAATATCATCCACCAACAGATCATACGGTCACATGGGACTAGGCGAAGGGGCGGTGCAGTTATGAAGTCCCCAGAATTCATTTAAGACTGTTGCCTCCGCCGCAACACACAGTTTATAGATACGCAACAGCACTACGGACCCTCATTCACATTCATCACTTCGCATCTCAGATTAGCTTCGACTACACTCCCTCCTACCTCTCTTCTCACCTATCAAATCCAATCATGGATTCTATTACAGAATGGTCAGCCTTCAGCAGGGCCCAAATTGATGACGTTATCCAAAGCGGCCTGCAGGACTCTCTTAGTGACGCAATCGATTCCTACCTCAAGTCGATCACATATCAGTACCTGTTCCAAGGACGGTCAGAAGAATTTTTAGCTGGCCTACTCTGTGATGCCTGGTATGCGCTTATTCAAGCGGGCAAGAACATTACCACACATGAGTTTCATCAGGATATCATTGTACGTGACCTTGTGGCTGTGAGAGCTCTCGGGCCCATGCAAGATTCGGTGCAAAGCATCAGCCACACGCAGGGAGTCATTACCTTCTCTGACGGTTATACGCTCTGGTCCGGCCTGCCTCTCCTCTCCATGACTTTGACCGAGGAGTTTACCGAGCGATACTATCAGAAGGACCACTACAGTCCAGGCCAGCGAGAGAATATGGCAGGTCTCCTTGCACGGCTTCTGGCTGCTGGTTTTTATGATGGTCCTGCTCTGTGTGCACTGTCACTGTTTCGGGAGACCTTGGAGACCCATCGACCGTTGGTCAAGGCAGATATCGAGGAAGCCTCCGATTCAGTCTTGCCACTGGAGGGTCTGCTAGAAGCTCTTACAGATTTGCTTGAAAACTCGGGATACAGTCTTGCCATATTGAGCGCCAGTACTACTAGCAATATCAAGACCAAGCATGCCGATCACCCTCGCCTATCTGGCCTCGGCGAGCTAGCACTGCAACATGATACCATCACTGATTTATCCCCCACTGGTTACAGCCCTCAGAGATGGAGCTTCTGGGCAGAGCGGCTGAGGGAACTGAAAAGGTGCGGCGTTGAGAGCATAGAGCGCAGAGCGAACTTTTGTCTGGGTTACATGCATTGCATAGGCGATCAGACCAAGCTCCTCCCAGAGGTGATTTGTCAAAACTCATCCGGCTTTCGGGAGGAATAGAGTGATCAATAAGTTAGCTTTCTGGTAGGATATAGTGAGAGCAAATGCTATTGTGGTTCATTCTGTCTACGAATTTATTGATTACCCCCTTCACACGGGATATTGCCCATCTTGGTTATGAGAAAAGAGCATAGTAAACAAGTAACATAGATAATATATACTGGCATCTATACCCTCTTGCAGATTGGTTACTAGGCAGTAATCTACCTATCTAGATATTGGATATATAGTTAGGAAGGTAATATTTATATCGCATATTTCCCAGGGCTTAATACTATAATTTAGATTAACCTCACTTATCAGCAGGTCTATCCGCACGTTCCATATCCCCTATTCACCGAGTAACTCTATGTAACAGTCGCGATAGCTGTTATAGATATCTCTCCGCTAATACCTTAATCAGCTTAATTACCTCTTTTTCTAGGTGCCAGTCCTCTATGATTAATTACTTAATTTCCTCTTATGAGGTATCTGCCGGATATAACACCCACAAGACTGCCTCTTCGTGAACCAGCATAGCGGGCGTGAGGCAGAGCGTCTCGACGCTGCTTGAGATTTTACTTCGCATCTGGTTTGAGGAAAACCGTTAAGTTAGAATGCTCAGTGGCACCCTCTGATGTCGATGCCTTTTCCGTAGATACCGCGCGTAGAAAAATCTCAAGGTAGTGTTCGTAGTGATAGGATGGAGGTGACTCACATATTTTTTCCTGCTGTTTAGCATCAAAGATAGCAACCTTGTTCGAGAGAAATTTTCACAGAAGACCAATCTATTCTCTGGAGCTCATGATATTAACCTTTGGTATCAATGTATATCGTAGTACGTTTCCATGCATAATGAACACATTATTTGATATTTCGCTTGTTCTTACACGAGCACATTCAATTGCCGCGTAGACACATCACTCACAAAGCTATCAGTGGTCGCATCTAATACAATGAGCGAGTCATTTCAAGCTGGGTATTTGATAATAGTAGCCATGAGCTTACGCATAGCGGAAGTAATTTGTCTTAACTATCATGACCAGGTGGTTTCCTTACAACAAACATCAAGAAAAAAGCCAACCACAACTCCCCCAGTGGGCATAGTGTATAGGAGAAATAAATCAGAGTCCAAGCCATTGATCCATAAGAGTTCGTTGCATGATTCCTAAGTATTAAGTATACCGTATGCCGGGAGCAAAGGTTTTAACTCCTTCTGTGCTTAAAGAGAAATATAATCTGATTCTTATCATCGCTCTGCCTACTAGTGAGAATAGTTGAATTCTTCGATCTGTCCTATGAAAGAAGTTGTCAACCACTTCGATCGTTGACACACCAAATCCCCTATGGCCATTGCATTACTATTCAGAGGTTAGAATCGTAACTTTTTTGGTATCTTAGTAATGGCGCGCTAATTAAGAGTCACGTGTCATTCATATTGGGATACTCGGCACTATGACGGGCCATGATGCGAAATCTCAAATACATTCGGAATCGGTTTGCGAGTATTCTAGATTTCCGTTTCCATTATGACCTAAACCGAGTATTTTATTTCCATTAATCATAGTTCTTCGCATTGAAGCCCTCTCTTATACAGATTACGCATCATTGTGTTTTGTTTAATGAAGGGTAGTGATTGTCCAGTCCACTCATGCAGTTCAGGTCAAGCTGAGTGATAGCTAGCTTGAGTCCAGGTCGCACTGCGCATGGATGGTTGGTCTGCGCCGCCACGATCATCAATTCAGCAGTCAAATGAGAAGTATTGACTTAGAGGTCCAACAACTCCAAACGAGGGGGACAAGGCGGGAATTAGGCGTTGAGTTCAGTGTTCAACCTTGAGCATTTATGCTTGCTCACCTCTCTTTGATCAATTGATTGAAGTGCCTCACTAGTCCGACGTATGGGGGCGATAGGCCGCTTCCCCAAAGACGGTCTTAAACTTATCACCGACAAGTGTCTAAATATTGGCCGCTGCCGAGCCTGGTATTCATACTCCCAAGGCAATGGCGATACGCCCAGATGTAAAGAAGCCACCTATACCAGTTGCTACCAATATCGGATTCAGTATTGATTCTGACCGACTGCAGTATTGACCCAGTCTTGGCTTTACGGATGCGTATACGCTTATGTCGATCGAGACGCGCCAGTCTTGTTGGCACCAGCACATGCATCACTAGTCGCTCATCGAGCCAGGATCGCGTGTTGAGCCAGGATCGCGAGGTCTGGAATTTATGCGTACCCATTCAGTGAGTACCCATTACTCTACAGCGGTGAAATTAAGTCGGGTACTCAAATCCCTGAATGGGTCCTGATTTGTGCAAATAAGTCACCACGTTGATGTATGGCTGGGATACCAATGTCTGTTCAAGCATCTGTGCAACTGGCTATCTAGCCTTATCTTCAGTATTCCGCCTCGTGGAAATACTTCCTGCACGACCCAACCTAATCGTACTTGGATGTTACCTACCTAGGTAAAAACATTTTCATAGACATAAGCATGAAGTTTCATTCCCAAGCTCCAAGGGCAAACGAACTTCGGTTTGCGTTGGTGGAGGGTGTGGACAGGTGCCTACCCCACTTTCCCCTTTCCTATACCTGCATATTACATCGAAGGTTGCCATCAAGTGCACAATTCCGCCGAGGGGCAGCAGAGCCGGTACAAGAGAACAGCTTACTACCGAGTCAGAGACTAAATAAATAGGCTATCCCCGAGCCATCTGAATCCTAACCCCTCATCTTTCTCTCCTGGGTTGAATCTACACGCACGCCCCAACAACGCAACGGTTCATCAAATTTCAACTCAACCATCATGGCTCTATATTTCGGGAGCCCAAAAAGAGAAAGTTGGGATTTCATTGTGTGTGGGTAGGTGTATTCCAGTCAAGCATTGGCTCCAGTGATCGAGAAGAGCTAACTCTATATTTAGCGGCGGCACCACGGGCAGTGTGCTTGCCGGTCGGTTGGCCGAAGATCCTGATGTGAATGTGCTGGTCCTCGAAGCTGGTCCACTTAGCGAGGATCTGGAAAATGTGTCCATGGTTGGAGGGTAAGGCCAGTTCGACCTAGTATTGCACTTCTTCTATCTTTGATCGAGACAGCTAATTGCCCTAAAAGATTCTCCGGAAACTTTGACAAGGAGACAGACTGGAACATTATCACTGTTCCATTGAGCGGTATCAACAATCGCCAAGTTAAGTTGAGCCGTGGAAAGTTCCTTGGCGGATCTTCGGGCTGCAATGGAACGCTCTGTATGCGTGGATCAAAGCAAGACTACGACGACTGGGACCTACCTGGCTGGTCAGGGGAGGAGTTTTTCAAATATATGAGAAAGGTAACCAACTAATCATTCCACCTAATGGTGGCGGTCAGTAGTGACATTATTAAGCTCACGCTATCTAGGCCGAGTCTTTCAAAGGAAAACCATGGTTCAAAGCATCTGAAGAATCGCATGGGTACAGCGGTCATCTCGGAACAGAACCACACGACCTTGCCCCAATCTCAGAGCTATTGTTGAAGTCTATGGAATCCAAGGGTCTTGCGCTAGATCACGACATGTTTTCTCACGGCGAAAACCCTCATGGATGTGGCCATGCTCCAAGGACTGTTACTAATGGCCTTCGTACAACTAGCGCTGACTTTATCACAAAGAAGAACCAAAAGTCCAACATCACCATCATCCCCCATGCTCATGTTGACAAGGTCATCATTGAGTCCGGAGAGGATGGTGATCTCCGAGCTGTTGGAGTCAGGGCTGTCTTAAAGGACGGTTCTGTTCTTGAAGCACATGCCAATAAAGAGGTGATTGTTAGTGGCGGTACATATTGCAGCCCTAATATCCTTAACCGGTCCGGCATTGGCGCTCGTGCTGAACTTGAGCAACATGGGATCAACGCCCTCGTCGACCTACCTGCAGTGGGAAAGAACCTTCTCGATCATCTTGTATGGCAGATTCAGCACATATTGATACTCGCGTAAATGAAACTGAAACTGACACAAAGATCTCCTAGATTGTCTTTATCTTTTATGAGACGGAAAAGCCAGGGCTCACCAATGATCACCTTGTGCATCATGGTGATGCTTACAAACATACATATCAACTCTGGAAAGAGGAGAAGAAAGGATTCTTATCGAGCTTCCCTTTCGGCGTATTTGGTTTTGCCCGCCTTGATTCTCGTCTCGCTGACTCTCAGCTTTGGAACTCGGCACCGCGCTTGGAAGGACGTGACCCTATGGGACTTCTGCCATCACAACCTAACGTTGCGTTGTTTAATACCGAGTGCTATTTTGGGGCAAAGCAATATGACCAATTCCCCATCGATAACAAGTACGCTTTCAGTATTATCGCCGAGCTGTTTGCACCTCGATCGCGTGGGACCGTCTCTCTACAGAGCGCAGATGCTAAAGGGATCCCTGTTGTCGACTGTGGTTATCTCACCGATCCTCTGGATGTGGAAGTGCTCGCGGAAGCCTGCCGTTTTGGCAATGAGATTGTCATGAGTGGTGAAGGAACCAAGGATATTGTCAAAGGATCATGGCCTCCAGAAGCCTCCCACCATAAACTCACCACACGAGAGGACTGGGTGCCGTTTGTCAAGGAAAATGCCACAACATGTACGTACTCGACTTGCTCTGAGAGAAATGTATTCACTGACAAACTACACTAGGTTATCATGCTGCGGGTACCTGTGCTATGGGCAAAGCGTCTGATCCCAAGGCTGTCGTGGATGAACGACTTCGTGTTAAGGGCGTAAAGAATCTCCGAGTTGCTGATTGCAGCATCATGCCCACTCTTCATGGAGGGCATACTCAGATGCCAGCATTTGGAATCGGCGAGAAAGCTGCTGACATGATCAAGGAGGACTGGGGTATTGCTGAATTTCGGCAGAGCGCACCCTCTCTGAACCTCTAATATTTAACATGCATGTCTTCGACTTATATTATTATCCAAACGATGGCAGAGCAGGCGCAGCCATGCAATTATTACATTAGCTATTGACCTCGTGCCGCATTCTATAAAAGATAAATCCCGAAGTGGCATCTCTATAGTAATACTTCATAGAGATTAAGACTCGCGATGAGCTCCGAGCTCCAAATGCTGTCTCTCAATTCAAACTTCCTTTTTCGTATAATTCGAATGTACGCCGCTTCAACGCGTGGTTAATGCTTGATTCAGCGAGCTATTTTTCCGCCTTCCACATATCTATAACAGTCATAAGCGCTTTGGTGGTAGGATCTTCAGGTCCCATAATCCGATGTTGCGCTTCGGCGCGCTCTAACATCAATTCCAAGGCTTCCTCGTTTCGCCCTTGCCCTCTCCAGTCGTAAGCCAAGTTACCCATACTCACGAGAGTGTCTGGATGGTCAATCCCCAATTGCAACTTTCGCATCGCTAATACTTGCGCATCTAGCTTTTCCGCCTCTTGCCATCGTTCCTGCCCCCCATATATTGATGCAAGATTGGCCATGCTAGTCAGTGTGCCCAGATGATCGTCTCCAAGGTATTTTAATCGTCCTTCCATTACCTGTACCTCCAGCCTCTCTGCTTCATCTAGCCGTCCCTGCTCTAAGAATCTCAGAGCAAGAATTCCTTTATTATCCAGGGTGTCTGGATGATGAACTCCTAGTCCCATCTCCTGAGCCTCTACTATTTCTCGAAACAGCTTTTCTGCCTTATCCCATTGGTGATTGTCGTCAAGAAGGTGAGCTAGCACCGCCATGCTCTTTAATGTATCCGGATGACTTCCTCCCAGTTTCTTCTTCTTAGCCTCGATCACCTGAGCCGCAAGCTTTTCTGCTTCCTCTACTCGACCCATATTAGAACATATCAATGCATAATAGTCCTTAAGGTCGAATAGAGCCAGGTGGTCGGCTCCCAGTTTTATCGTTAACCCCTGAATTGCTTCTTTCATTAGGCAGTCAACCTCTCCGTTTCGTCCACCGGCTCCGAATGATCCCCTAAGCTGGACAGCCTTCTCGTTTAGTCCACGGGATCCAATTATTCCTGCAAGCTGGACCATGCTTCCTAATGTACTAATATGATCGGTTCCAAGTATGTTCTTTTGGGTCTCTAGGACCTGCACCACCATCTTCTCTGCCTTGTCCAACTGCTCGTGATTGGCGTACAGACATGCAAGAGATGTCATGCTAGTTAGTATATCGGGGTGATCGGCTCCCAGTTTCACCTTCTGAGCATCTATCACCTGTACCATGAGCTTTTCTGCCTCCTCTAGTCTGCCATTGCCTGATATTGCATCTGCAAGATTACTCATGCTGGCAAGTGTTTCCAGATGGTCGGGACCTAGTTTCCTTTTTTGCTCATCTACTACCTGTATTCCAAGGGTCTCGGCTTCTTCCCATCGCTCTTGCCCGTTGTATATTGATATGAGAATTGACGTGCTCTTAAGTGTCGTTGGATGATCAGCTCCATTTATCTTCTGGGATATTTTTACCGCGCAGATAGAAGCTTTCTCTGCATCCTCCAACATGATCTCACAATCGTAGAATTCTGCGATGGAATTAAGTAATTGAATACTTGTTTCAGCTTCATCATACAGCATTGGCCGGCTCCCCTCCAACACCACGTTTGCGTGTGAAAGGTACCTAATGCATTTGCTTCGGTTTTCTTCGTAATTTTCGGATGGGTACATATTGGCCATTATTTTGAGTGCCTTGCTGCTAAATTGACCGATAGTATCCCTGGTAGCAAGCCATTTTCGCGTCGCTAATTGTATAAGACGGTGCATATTGAAGCCTCCGTCGGTGTTCTCCGTCACAAAAGAGAAAGCTTTGAGAAGGCCCATCGCGTCTAAAAGTTCCATCTCATTCGCCGTGCCACTTTCACTCTCATTCTCACCATAGTATGAGATGAACTCTTCGGGAATATCTTGCCGATCCAGCAGGCTCATGAAAGAGAGAATTTCACTAGCCAATGGGTGCTGTCTCTCAATCTGCTGAAATGAAAGCATCCATGTTCGTATCACTGCCTTTGGTGTCTGAGAGTCTCGTCCAGCTGTCTCGAAATCCTTGCTGAGGAGGTGTATCATCTTCTTGTCGGAGTCGTTATCACCTAGTAGCTTGAGGTACCTCTTAACCGTGATCGTAGTTTCTTTGATATATGCTGCTGCCTGGGCTAGTGCCAAGGGGAGATGTTCCAGGTAAGAGGATAGTGCTGCTAAATCAGCACTGGCTGTTTCTGCATCGTCGAGACTTGAACGAAGCAGCTTCACCGCCTCAATGTCATTCATGCGAGATACCTCACAGAAGCCTCGCCCTTTCGTCAGCCTCACAGCAGCTTGCTTGTTTCTTGTCGTGATAAGCAAAGAGCCGTGAGGACATTCTGGTAAATATTGTGCAAGATGATTTAGCTCGGTGGTATCTGTCACGGTTTCAGATGGTTGGTCGAAGAATAGCTCTACGTCATCAGCATTATCAATGACCATGATCCACTCTCCATGGGTCTTCTCCATGAGCCAATTTTTTACTAGGAGCAACAAATCGTGCTTTGGATCTTCAAAGCCTGGAATCTCAAATGCCTGTGCAATAGATGCAAAGGCTTGCCGAAAACGTTGGGCGCTACTAGCATGAACCCAGAGTACGGAGATATTTGAACGCGTTTGTTGCAGCCGGAGGACAAATTCCAGCGCAATCTGTGTTTTCCTGTTCGATGTCAGTCATTGTGATATAAGTTTGACTAGGGAGCCTACCCAGTCCCTCCTAATCCATAGAGTGCTACTCTTGTTTGCACCAGGCCAGATGTTTCTTGTGTAGACTCCAACTGGCTTCTCAACCAATCTAAAATTTCAGAGCGCCCCACGAAATGCGGGTTCTTGGTGTATGGTATAATGTCTAACGGGTATATTAGCTTCGATGTTCCCAAGTGTGCATTTCTTTTACTTACATTTTGTAGTCGGGCTTGCTGGATCGATGCTTTCGTTATGTGGTACGATGATAGAAGGTGACCAGAATTCTAATAAAGCCTTGGTGCACGCTGCAGCTGTTGCAGCAGCATACCTTTGCCAGACTTTTGTCTTATGGCTGTCAGCATAGTCACAGGCACCCTTGATCACAATGCAAGGGAACGTATCCCAAACCCCGGCACCTTCCATCTCGAAACCAATGACACCCTCTTGTTTTGATATATCGTCACGCTCAACACCACACTTCATCACGGCATCCCCAGAGGCAATTAAGCCGAAATGTATCGCCGGCTGTGGGATGTCTTGGGAATGGCGAGCACGGACAACCAGCTCTCCACTACATCCGCATTCCTCACACCTATTACCATCACTGACATGACGGTACATAGCTTTGAATAGCTTATCATGTTGAACACCGGGGTACTCTGCTTCTAGCTCAGGTTCGTTGCGAAGGTTATTCAGATAACTTATAGTTTTGGTCCTCAATCCCTTTCGACCCCGGATGCCCTCGCGTTTCGCTAGAAATGAGCGAATTTCTCCGCTAGGTCGACCGAGATCTTCCGAGACTTTATCTTTGCGAACGAACTGTCCCGGAAGTCGATGACCGAGGTCATATTGAACAATCCCTTTGCTCACAATCACATCTCCAAGGTAGATGTCAACATTGCTCTTGGGCATGAAGGGTACCGCACCACATATACCGACGACAAGAGCGAGCTTGATATTGGGAAAACTAACACGGCAATGCACAGCCACCGTTGCGGAGCTGACCTTCCCCATGTCGGGCATTCGAGCGAGGACAACATTATGTTTACCGATAGATCCAGTTGAGTATGCATTTGGGTCGCCCGGCGCTTTCTCATAGTCAGGACCATCATCGTCCCAGTACTGATCAAACAGGGCCTCGACAGCATCCGCTTCGATCGTGAGAGCGCAAATAATAGCAATTTCAAAGCCGAGACGGTTTTTGGGACGCCTTGGCTCCATGATTAAGGCCAGCACTTCTCAAAGAAACACTTCAAGGGGTTTGCCAGAAAATTTGCGGGAAAATATTAAAGTGGAGTTGCTCATCCCCCAGTCTTCTGAAGTTGGCGAGATTGTATCACGTGTTAAATTCAGGACAAGGGCTGGATAATCTGTTAAACGTCCGTTACCAATTATTTAGAAGGGTTTTGATGAGATATTAAAGAAAACTCACAAACCCCACAGACAGAAGTCTTGTGCAGCAGAGTAAGGAAATGGTGCGACTACTCATCCCCCACTGTGTAGTTCTCTAACCTAGTGGGAGTCTAAGTTTGAGGTATCATTCACGTTTTTAGGGCTCAATAAGTAATACTAATATCATCTCTATTCATTAATCTAGCCTGTCGTGATATCTGGACATTCAAGTAATGGTTGCTGCTGCTTCTTCTACTACCCCTGCCTCCTGACTAGTAGTCCTCAAGGTAGTCGCCGTACAAGGCTCGGACGACGAGTTCGAGGTCTTCCAAGTCTCGCTGGCTCAGGCTGTTAAGGTATTCGAAGTCACGTTCCTCGAAGTCGCGCTTCTCTTGCTTCTTCTTCGTCTGAGCGACTTTCATCGCCGAGTTGGCAGCCGCGTTAGCACGGTTGTAGGCCTGGCCTTGTTGTTTGGAAACGGAGCTGAAGACATGACCAACGGCTTTACCGGCGCCTTTAGCAAGCTTTAAGAGGTTCTGGCCAATGGCTCGGGCCTCGAGATCATCGATGTCACGTTCTTCGACGTCTTCCCAGTCACGCTCATCGAGCTCCTCGACATCACGCTCCTCCATGTCTTCCCAGTCGCGCTCCTCCATGTCCTCCCAATCCCGCTCCTCAATGTCCTCAAAATCGCGCTTTCCTTGTTGAGTTTTGTGGGTATTGGCCACGGTCATCGCAGTATTGGCTGAGGAGAGGGTGCGGTCGAAGGTCTTGCCAGGGTTCTTCTTGATAGCACCTATTGCTTTCGAAGCTACATTCTTGACAGCCTTTGTGAGCTTGACTGCAGGTGTAAGAATAGATTTCAAACTGCGGTCTTCGAGGTCTCGTAGGGAAAGGTCGAGCTCCTCGATATCACGCTCATCAAGATCCTCAAGATCTCGGAGGGCAATCTCAAGCTCATCGAGATCACGCTCCTCAAGGTCGCGCTTTCCTTGTTGAGTTTTGTGGGTATTGGCAACAGTCATCGCAGTATTGGCTGAAGATAGAGTGCGATCAAATGTCTTGCCAGGGTTCTTCTTGATAGCACCTACCGCTTTCGAAGCTACATTCTTGACAGCCTTTGTGAGCTTGACTGCAGGTGTAAGAATAGATTTCAAACTGCGGTCTTCCAGATCACGGAGGGCAAGCTCAATTTCATCAAGATCACGCTCATCAAGATCCTCAAGATCTCGGACGGCTAGTTCGAGCTCATCGAGATCACGCTTTCCTGACACGGTCTTGTGGGTGTTGGCAACAGTCATGGCAGTGTTGGCTGAGGAGAGAGTGCGGTCGAAGGTCTTGCCAGGGTTCTTCTTCACGGCGCCGATAACCTTTCCGGCAACACCCTTGACAAACTTGCCCAAGCCTCGTTCATCGAGGTCAAGATCACGGAGGGCAATCAGGACTTCTTCCTCAAGGTCACGCTCATCGAGTTCCTCGATATCACGCTTTCCGGATACCGTCTTGTGGGTGTTGGCCACAGTCATGGCAGTGTTGGCTGATGAAAGAGTGCGATCAAATGTCTTGCCGGGGTTCTTCTTCACGGCGCCGATAACCTTTCCGGCAACACCCTTGACAAACTTGCCCAGGCCCCGCTCATCAAGCTCAAGTTCACGGATGGCCAATTCAATGGCATCGGCAGTCAGGGCGGCATCGCGGGCAGCAATATCGCCCCGGGGAGCGATAGGTGCAGCGACGGCTTGCTCAGCAAGGCTGAGAAGGATAACAGCAGGGATAGAAACTTGCTTGATGCAAACCATTTTGAATGTATAGAGAATATATGGAGTAGAAAAAAAAGGGGGTATATAGATAAAAAGGAAATAAAAGACTTTATTGACCAGCAATAGTGTATAAGAATAATGTAGCAAAGAAGCGAAAAGAGACCAGCTCTGTAAGAATGTTGTTGTTTTGGTGGTGTTTGATCGAGTGATGAAGAGAAAAGGTTCGTTTGAAGGAGGGGAATGATCAGCTTAATATACTTCGTGGCAGACTCATTGGATCTATCAAAGATGTTGTAAGGCTATGTTTAGCTCCGACACACTACGTCCTTTGCGGTAAGCCTTGGCAGATTTCGGATGATCACCTACATCCTATCTAAGTTACCCATGTATGATGTGTTCCGGTTACAAACGAAGCGGCGTGCGGAGCCTTGTAGGGAAAAGTGGGATACGAACATCCAGGTTTGCTTGGCCCTTTCATGCCTGTCCGTTGTCAAGCGTCCCATGATGAATCTTCACATGGGTTACTGACTAGCCAGAGTTATTTCTCACTACCATGTAGATCAACAATCAGTGAGTAGGTAATTCGTACAAGATCTTTACAAGAATTCGAACCTAACGGAGCACCATCATGTCAACTGGTGTGAATCTAGTCTAGAGGCAACTGGTGCTTCACGAAACCCCAAGAGCTTACAGCTATGCGCCTCTGCTCCGTGAGAAGGAGGAATCACAATGGCAAAGATGGCGCCTAGTCAGGCAGGTAAACACATGTGGGTAAGGGTGAATCCACAGTCCTATGACAAGTGCGGGACTTGGAACAGTTGGCACCCGGGGAATACGTGGATGAAACATATGCGGGATTACGAGAGGTGCAGCTATACCTAGTGGCTTGAGCCTTAACTAGGCTGGTGGTTCGAACGATCTAGGGGCTTTGGTCCCTTTTGCAGGGGTCTCTTCCTGGCCTAACTGGTACGGGGCACATTTCTGAGTGCGCGTCTGGAGAATGAACAGAGCATTTAACTCATTACCACCTGCCTCCTGTGATTTACTGATGACTAGGTAGTGTCCGTTTACAGTTGAACATCCCAGTCTCCAGCCTTTCCTACATGTGGCACATGTGGCACAGGGCGACCCGTATGACCGTGTCACCGCTGTTCTTTTCGGAAACTTGAGGCTGGACTGGGGTAACTAGCTCCTTGTTTCGATTTTTGAACAAAGTCACCCCATGTGTGCTTGTCGATTGCAATCCCAGCTCATCATATTCCAACGGATCTGACCGAGTAGCGTTACTAGTGTGATCTCAGACTAAATTGATTCTCCCATTGTCCATCATTCAGCCCTGTGCGGTTGTGTTGTCAACTGAAGATCCCTAGATATCGTTCCCAGCGGTCCTTCTCTTCTGGAAGCATCGCCAACGCAACCCAACGGCGCAATAAATTTGCCGTGCTGTGCCGCCCCTATCTAGGTAGGATCTGTCCCGCAGCTCGGCTGAGACCAAAGTTCAAACCGCGCCGCAGCAGCGACTGTACGTAAAAGTCGTACTGCATCACACCCTGCCACGCGAATTTGGACATTTCGGTACTGGGAAACCCGCTCGTATCACGTAAATAGGTGAGGAGGGGAAGGTGTCGATGCCCGGAAGTGGGGGAGCTTCTGTCGCCACGACGTCTGACTGTGGGAGACTGCCAATCAATACCGGATCTGTTAGATTTACCTCAGCCGACGTGTGCGCCCTCTCACAGCTGAAAACCAGGCCCACGATCCTTTCTCCTTGGTCTCTCCAGACGAAGCTAGCGGTTGATTGGTACAGTCTTACACATGAGGCGGAGTGTGCCACACCTGATGCGAACTCCGTAACAGCTACTAAAAGGGGACGTGATGAGCTCGGTCGCGAGGTGTGGAGACTCTGGAGAGGACACACGTTTCGGAGTATATTTTTAGATCACCTCAAATATCTCCGGCCCCATTAGGGGTTCCAGAAAACTCGCCTGAGAGATGGATGGTATTTGATGGGCTGGAGACCCGAAGCCGTGGACGTGAATTGATGTCGTGGAAAATGGCCCCCAACATTCTGTGGATGCAGGCCGTATTTGGTTGGGGCACTGCAATAAATGCGCCGAACTTTGGTAGAACCAACAGCAGATTGCCTGCATACCCGTCCGATTTTATCTTGTTGGTTCGGCACATGAATGTCATCGAACCAACAAACATATGACCTGCATTACCGATTGCCTGTTGGTTCACCAACAGTTCGGCAGATGGACTGCGCCACACCAATAAATAAAATAATTAATACATGTTTACTTACAGACATGTGTAAAATTGACGTGGGCGGACGCAGCGCAAGATGAGAGCACCTCGCCACAGCCTCACGAAAGAATGAGCTAATTAGCGCCCTGATCGGCTATAAAAGTGTTATTGGCCGCGTTATTACTGGGGCAGCCAAGTATTATTCATCTGGCTGGAATAACTACCGGCGCTCAGGAGTCAGGAGAAGTGGCGGTGGGTTGCTAGTCATGGCCCCTGTTCCGTTCCATGACCCCAGTCACGCCCTCGGACTTGTCTCTGCATCGTACGTGCGAGGCGAGGGAAATGGCGAGAATGTGGTTCTTCGTGTCTTCTTACGAAGTTCTTTTTCCGTTTCCGCTTCCTCTTCGACTGACAACTGATGCAGAGCCTCCTGCAGTGTCACATTGCAGGATTTGGTGAGCCGGCCAAGCTGTGTCGGCCAAGCCCGACTTGCAGAAGGGATAATTACAATCTTACATCACGTCTGACTTGTGCAGACACAAAGGTCCCCGCCCGCTATCTGAAGCTGCTGATTCGTTCGATGCCGAGGAGGAATGGTGTGCCAAATTGTAAGCAGTAGCCACGTGTAGCCATTTCGTCATCATACCCACTCGGATAATTTTAGCATGTCATCATCTACGCTAACTTTCTGTCCATTTTCTCCGCCTCAGAGTGTTGTCGGAGTTGCGACAACAACTAATGGGCTTTCCAGATGCATGTTGCCGTAGATGAAATTACCTACCAAGATATGATGCAATTAGTTCTTCATTTTCATTGACCTAAACTCTATCTTTAAGTTCTTAATCTATTTTCAACCATTACTTCTTTCTTAAATGTTTGTAATGAGGATCTGAGTATTTATTGTGTTCCGTTCCATGCCAACTATAGGGTAGGTTGTAACATGAGCTAAGTTCGGCGAGAATAAGAGAGACAGTTCAGGAACTACATATAAAGATATAAATTTTCATGTTATTAGAAGATAATATATTACTGAATGGCCGCTTAAATACCATGAAGAGCTAATTTGAGCCATGAGAGTTAATTGTTGCATACTCTTCCCGCTCCATTTATCGATAATTCTTCTCATTAATACGTACTCGGCGACATATTTCAACCTCCCAACTTCCGAAAATTCTTCTGCAACTGCAAGTTTAGCTTCTCAGGTACCTAGTAGAATTCAAACAGGAGCTTCAGGTGGGTGCTTGTATATAAAGTGGCTAGCTGGAGAGTTTGCCGTTTCTCTAAGGAATATTGCTAGCTTCTTATCTGGTTTATACTAACAGGTAAGCATTTCTGCTCGTGTTGCTCGTCGAAGTGAAAAAAAATAGACTATTGAAGAAGATTTATTCTTATAATCTGAAGTCGCTCAATATTAGCTCAGGGTTCCGTTGTGTGTTTATCTTCAAATGAGGCAGAAAAGCTGTTAAACTCAATTCATATACTCAGTTGATATGGCAAATCCATAGAAAAGTGGTGTCAGATATCTCGAACTCTTCACAGGATTATTCTAAACAAAGGCGGTGCGATAGGTAGGACTGAACGATTAAGGTAGTGGATGAACGAGGTGTTCCATCAAGTAGATTGATCCATGGGCTGTCGATGAGATAAAGAGGTAGTAACTGTGCGAGATAAAGGAATGAGATTGGATTAAGCGGTGTTTCAATGGACCGGGCCTATAGTCCTGAGAATCATGACTACCCAGTACTTGTTGTTTGCTGAGGCATTGGAATATTTGAATTATGACTTCAATTCTTGGAGTCTTTAAGCACTGTATCCGGCACAGTACTCTCAGTCTCTTTGGTAAGGCGTTCTTCCAAACTTTCCTTCGCTGCTTGTGCCGTCTTACGGCGCTTTTTATCTTTCTTTAGGCTGAAGACATTGGTTGGAGATATTGATGATGGCTTTGATGGCTCTGGATAATATATTGGGGCCATTCTTGAGATGGTGAGCAGACTCCCTGAAATAGCTTGTAGCAGCCTTGAATTTTCCCGGGAGACACCTGCGCTGAGACATATTCTCAGCTTTCAGGGCCTGTCGTAATCTTTGATTAGCCTCGCGGCGGATTGAGACAAGCAGAGCTTCAATGCCAGAGGTACCAGGGCCCTCTCCTTTCCTTTCCTCCTTTTTCCCCCACTAGTGTCTTTCTTCCCCTCGCTTCTAAAGCTCAAGCTTCTTCTTCCTAGATAGAGGCATCTAGGTTCTTGACTTACCGTGGCTCAGTGAGGGTTTATATCTCAGTTCGTCAAAATAAGTGAAAAAAAAAGAGCAAGTGGTGGACATGTAGAGAACTACACGATATTAATTGTCTAGATCTATTTTATTTCAACGTTAATGCCGACGTGCCGATGTAGTTGTGAATAGCTGTTTTTCAGGAGAATGTACAATGGTAGGTGCGGGGGTAATGTTGATGGTATACCAAATCGTTTTAACCCAACTTTCCTTACAATGTCCGATATGCCAATTGCTTGTGATTATGTAGCGATACATCTTCCAGCGCAGCCTTCCGTCCGGCTTTTAATTTGTTCTTGTTGCTAATCGTCTTGTCGTTGTATTATCCAGAGGCCACCTTCAGCACTATCAAGAGTAAATGTCCCTCCCAAGATGTTAATTTTGCAGACACAATTTTTGCTCGCTCGAAGCCTCGACCACGGCAAGCTTCAGTGGCACTATATTATCCGGTAATGATAGAGAACCCTGGCTCTAAGCATGGTGGATAACTGAATCAGATGAATTATGCTATTGATGCCTAGGGG